AATAGACAAACTTCGTAATACATAAATTATCTACTCTATTTAACTAATTGTTATCAGCCTATAGAAGATGATTTGCACCAGTTGCGGTCCCATATTTTTTAATAAACAAAGTCAATTATCTGTTACAATTGTTAATAATAAAGTCAACAACCTCACTTAAAAAATATATATAGCAAATAGTGCTTTCAAGGACTTTTAATTTCCTGTATTGTCTTGAAAAAAAAAAAGAAGAATTAGTTGAAATAATTATAAATCTTGCATAAATTATCAAATTACTTTAGCTTGCTATAACAAAGTTTCCCTGTATGTATAAAACGTGACTAGAATAATAAAAATCAGAAAACATTTGGTACCAGCAAGGGACGAAATACAGGAAATGAAACTGAATTACGAACAGGAAATACTTATATAAATTGGGTTTTTTTTAAAACTTGGGAGAAAAGTAAAGTAGGTCGTTGTGGCACATGTTACTTATTTTTAGCGCATTACATTTTATGGCTTACGTTGTAATTTTGCCATGCAAGCTGAAAATAAAACCGTTTTGTAATGAGGAAAGCGATCGGTTAAGATTAGAATAATATATTCCGATATATAGCGGCCAATAAAGTAGTTTTATTCTAAAAAATTGGCACACATTTGAACTATAAAATACACTTGGTTACCGACAGAAATATTGCAATTTAAATTTCAGCACTAGTAATGAAGAAATAAAGGAATCGAAATTTCATTATAAAACCAACAATGCAAAAACCCCTAAAACTAAAATAATCTAAATAATGTTCCAAAAACATTACATTTGGCTACATCTTAGGCCTTGACTTTTGTTTTAAAATCTCTCTGACAATATTTTATGCATGTATCTCTCCTTAATGAGTTTAATGACTTTCACTTGCAAAATAACATGACGCGATTATCATCAGCTCACTTCGTCAACCAATGACGTTCTCTACAGTAAATGACCAATCATGAACGAGGTTAGTAAAAATCGTACGATGATTGCGTATTTGTTGTTGAAAATCAAAGCCAAAACTAACATAAAATTCGAGGCACGCTTTGCATAATAATCATACTTAATTGACGCTTGCGTTTTCAATAAACATAACAAGTGAATAATAACAAGGTGAAACATAACAGTGCCTCACAAGCAAACAAATACTAGGAATTCCTAGAACCAAAAAGATAAAACTAGAAAAACAAATAGCTTCAGAATAATGTAGCAAGACGCATTTACTAAAAGTATAATCACTGTCAAGGCTTATTTTCCATTGGTCGTAAATAGAGGCGCGAGGTGTCGTCGTCTCATACGTCGCAAACAAATAGTTAATAATTTTTTTGTTTATCTATTATCTGCCAAAAGGTTATATAAGAAAACAAATTCGAACAACGCAATTTATTGTTATGATGTATTTTCATTGAATTTGCAATATTGGCAACAAGAGGATAATTAAGTATATGTAATTGTTTTCTGTTATTAAAATATCAAAAATATTAATTACCCTACAAAATTTTTTCCGTGAAACGCTTAAAACTATTAAATTGTTTATTTTTAATGGTGGAAAAATATTTATTTGGAAAATACATTGTATTCTCCTAGTTATGGATGCAAAATAACATTGATTGTATTATTTGAATGAGCAAAGATATGCAAAAAAAATAATTAAAAGGTGTATACAGGGTGTCCCACGGTGGATGGCGTATTAGACGTTTATGGAGAACTAAAAAGCGGATCATTTTGAAAATTTGGCAACCGGGGTAAACAGCCATGATCTACACTTTAAAAATATTTTGGTTTATGCAATGTTGCCGCTTCTACTCTAAACCAGTGGCAACAACGCTATTTTAAATGGAATACCCTGTATGTGATTACATATTTTGATTCTACGTAAAATTCTGAGCAGATTTCATGTGATATACCCTATACCTAAGATCAACTGTTTTGGAATTATTGACAGTTGAAAATTGACTTTTTGCAACTTTGACAGGCTGTAAAACCTGAACGGTTAATTTAAGAGAAAAACCAATTTCACATTCCTATCTTACAGTTTCATGAACTATCATTTGACACCAACTTTGAATTTACCCGGAGATTAAATTTAATTGGAATTTTTAATCATGGATTAAATTTGAAGTTGGTATCAAATGATAGTTTATAAAAATCTAAGATAGGAATGTAAAATCGGTTTTTCTCTAAAATTAACCGTTCAGGTTTTACAGCCTGTCAAAGTTGCAAAAAGTCGATTTTCAACTGTCAATAATTCCAAAACAGTTGAACTTAGGTATAGGGTATATCACATGAAATCTGCTCAGAATTTTACGTAAAATCCAAATATGTAATCAGATACAGGGTGTTCCATTTAAAATAGCGCTGTTGCCACTGGTTTAGGGTAGAAGCGGCAACACCGCATAAACAAAAATATTTTTAAAGTGTAGATTATGGTCGTTTATCCCGGTTGCCCAATTTTCAAAATGATCCGCTTTTTAGTTCTCCATAAACGTCTAATACGCCATCCACCGTGGGACACCCTGTAGAAGTAGAACAGCAGCATCATGGAAAACAAGATAATATAGATATAATTAGCAACTCTAGCTACGTTCCTTCAAAAAGGATACAACTGTAAGTAGTATTGCTTTTAAATATCCTATCAAGCAAGGTATTTACACAGGGTGTTCCACGAACATCAAAACAGAGGCTTTTAAGGGTATTTTAACGTCAATTACAAAAAAAAAAACCACTTGGACTCGTCAATTTTGTATTCAAGGGGGAAACTTTTTAACCCCATCGGTAATTCGCTAGGGTGCACCTCCTGGGTGGGGCGACTTTCATCTCTCTTTTTTAAATAGGGAAGATGGGTCGAGTAGTATCTTGTTTCAAAGGTATTTTGATTCTCATCACAAGTGCGTATTTTTTTTGAAAATCGAATGACTAGTTTTCAAGGTATTCACTGTCAAAGTTGCCGATGCCATGATGGGCTAAATAAGAATCCAAGAGCAAAGTGTTCATTTGAGAATAACAGGGCCAAAAAACTGTTCCTTATTTAGCCCATGGCAACTTTGATAGTGAATATTTTCAGAACTAATCATTCGATTTAAAAAAAATAATAAGCACTTGTGATGAGAATCAAAATACTTTTAAAACAAGGTACCACTTGACCCACATCTTCCCTATTTGAAAAAGAGGGGTGTAAGTCACCCCACCCAGGGGGTACATCGTGCATCTTAGCGAAATACCGATGCGGTCAAAAAGTTTCCTTCCTTTAATATAAAATTGATGTGTCCGAGCGTTTTTTCTAAATCCACCTTAAAACGCATACCTTTTATGGGATTTGGGACTTCCGCCAAATTTATCCAAATTCCAGTATGATATAAATTTGACCTTTCTGATCAATACTTAGCATTGGCCCAACTTGATCCTATGACTAGTTTTTAAGATACAGGTAGTTTAATGTCCAAGAAATGTACACATTTTATATGCATTTACATCTACCTGTCACCTAATAATATACCAGGATGGTCAGGCATCCTCACGCTCAGGTGACAGGTAGATGTAAATTAAACTATCTCAAAAACTAGTCTTAGGATCAAGTTGGGCCAATGCTAAGTATTGATCAGAAAGGTCAAATTTATATCATACTAGAATTTGGTTAAATTTGGCGGAAGTCCCAAATCCCATAAGAGGTGTGCGGGGTCCTTTCTTTCAGTTTGAAACCGATCTTCCCAACAATCCCAACATCCAAAATTAAATTCAAAACAGATGTTAAGACAGAGGTCAAGACTCCCTATAATTAGATATTACAAAAAGCTGAACATTTTAATGGTAATGGTAACAAAACCTTGAGACTAATAAAAATCATGTTAATTCAATGAATCAATTTTTTCCTGGTAGTTTTATTATTTTTGGGTCATCCAAGGAGGACAGAACAGGGGCAAATTTTTGACTTTCCCTGTCATCCAAAATGGCCATTTAATGTATTTTTGGAAAATCATTTTAGTACTAAGGTAAAGTATTGAGTACTTTTTTTCTATTTATAGATAGAAAGCTGGAATGAAAGTGATTCTTATTCTTGCGGAGGACTACAATCCCTGAGAATTTCAGCTCATTTGGACTTATAGTTCCAGAAATAAAATCGCGTTAAGCAATTTGAGGTGAATTTCTCAAATTTTCGGCTCCTTTTTTTCAAAGAAGGCTTCATTGAACTGAATAGCAATGATTATACAGTGCATATACACAAGCATGTACCTATGGTTCATTTTTTCCCAAGATAGATTTTGACATTGTCAACTTTGAAACATAAACAATAGCGCTTGGCCGTGATTGGTCGCAAAATGAGGTGCCTCTGCAGGTTGACAGCAGTTTTACAATGCATGTTGTGCAAATGGCATTTTGCGACCAATAAGCGGCATTGTTTATGTTTCAAAGTTGAAAATGTCAAAATCTATCTTAGGAAAAAATGAACTGTATATCTGTTGCTAATCTGAGTTCAAAGAAGTTGGATGACAGATTATTAGTAGACACCTGTTTGCGCAACTTTTTCCCCATTAGGACCACGATCCACCCTGTATCGCCAATGGTTTCCAAAATCCCTATGTACTCCAAGTTATTCCAGACACCCTGCCTGCATGTACCTATGTGCGCGAGTATGTAAAATATGTATGTATTTATCTCAATATGTATGTATCAAGATATGTTTACGTATATCTATATGTATGCAAATTATATATCATTTATATTTTTATTATAAGCAGTTCTCTATTTTTTGAATAGTCTTAGTTCAGCCTTTTGAATGAATACTGAATACCATATGTTTTTTTCACAATGAAACATGTTTTGATTTGATTTGATAGAAGGGATGAAATTAATAAATCAATTAATGATTCAGTTACCTTCTTGAGAACAAAGAACCTGCTGCCCACACTTCAAGGGTTTCCATTTTCAAGGGATTTTCATTTTCAAAGGACTATCACGGAAACTTTTTGGTAGGTAAGCAACTAGGAAAACTTACCGCGGTAGTTGTTTTGTCCAATTCTTTTCACTTATAACGATAACTATTTTAATTATTTAACACTTATGTTGGGATTTTCCCCCCTTTTATTGGGAAAATCACAAAAAAAATCAATCCTTTCCTGTAATCCTTTTGTTGTTTATGTTATGACTTTTGACAGATGATGATATCAGAGAAAAGGAAAGGCCGTTTTCGATTCGCAACCGGTTCGGCCTACTTGCGTTTAGTTGCGTTTAGTTATAGCGCTTTGGGTGTGAGAGTGACCCTAGAGTAACTCTAAACCGTTCATAAATTAACGGGTGCTTACTCGGAGCGTTACGCTGGAATCGTTCAGATATCGAGAGTTGACGACGTGCCCAGAATGCGCCCAAATTACCCCACTCAGGGACTGGGTTGGAAAACGCTCCGCGGTTTTTACCGGGTTCCGGGTTACACATGATTTTAAGGTTATTTTCATTATGATTATTAGTGATCGTGTCTTAAAAGCCGTCATAGGCCTAGTACTCATAACTGCGAAATTCGATTTTTTTTGACATTGCTTCGACAATTTGACGTTTGATACACGCATAAAACGTCAAATCATCAACGCAATGTCAAAAAAATGCGAATTTCGCAGTTATGAGTAGTAGGCTATACACGGTTTTGCATGAGGCAATGTCAACTGATTTTCTATTGACAGTTTGGCACACAGTTTGCGAAACTATACAATATTTTAAATTTTTCTTTTTGCATGCTACTTCCATAATTTTGTGCTTATAAAATATTGAAACTCAGGGAATTATTCAAATATACGAAACGTGATTTGGAAGAAAAACATCAAACCTCTACCAGATACATAAAATGCCAAACTAAAACTTGTCTAAAGCCTAGTACTCATAACTGCGAAATTCGCATTTTTTTGACATTACGTTGACAATTTGACGTTTTATGCGTGTATCAAACGTCAAATTGTCGAAGCAATGTCAAAAAATTGCGAATTTCGCAGTTATGAGTACTAGGCTTAAACGATGCCAAACCAAACGACCGACGTGAAGGCGCATCCTCAATCAATCTGGTAGCGAAGTGACACTTCGGCACGCATGCTAGGATAATGTTGTTTAACGTTGGCATCCTCAATTCAATTCCGTGCTAGCGTGCAGTGAAAGCTTGCAAGCTGCCAGCTTTTTCGATGCGTGCCGACTTGTGTCATGCGCAGTACGTTAAAATAAACGAACGGTAAATTTATGCTTGAAGAACTCAGAACAAAATACCGAACGAACGGTTCGTGACCGTACTACACGCACAGCAGACTGAAAATTGACAGCATTGAGGATGGGTATCAATTTGCCAGCACGCGTGCCGAAGTGCCACTTCGCTACCAGATTGACTGAAAATTATGAAATTTTGCATAACTGCTAAACTCAACACGCTCCTTTAGAGTATGTAATAAAAAAAATATGCTGTACGAGCCTATTGAAACTGTCTGATCCAGTCAGGTGACGTGCCTTTTCGGAGCAAATCAACGAAAAAGATGACAAAAACGAACACGGCCGGACACTACTGACACTGTGGCGTTTGTTAATTGATAGGAGAAAGTTTGGTGTACACTTTAGGTTTGTTTGTGTGGCATTAACTTGAACCAAGCTGTAATATTTCAGATTATGGCAGATATCATCATCATATAAAACGCTCACAAACGAATGCCCCAAAGCAGGAAGTGCTGCCCCGAACCCGAATGGTGTAAAGATGGTAGGACATCGTCTACTCGGTTTAGGGCGGGTATTATAAAACTACTTTGAGAGTTAACTTAAAGTTAACTTCTGGAATAACATGTAATTCAAAAAGTTAACTTCAAGTTAACTGTCAAAGCAGTTTTATAATACCCACCCTTAAAATGATGGTGTATTCGGTGTTACACCGCCGATTACCGATATCAACCCTGCACTACACGAACACCGCACTAAAATCCCATCCCGAACTCAACTGTCGTGACATGGCATAGGGTGACGTTCTATAGAAAAGTTGAATCGTTCAGCAGAACCAAGAGTTTACCCAACGTATTCTGTTAGTATTTGTAAACTGTTAACAATCCGTTTTGGTTTTGGTGAACGTAGCCATATTAACGATGAGTCCCTTGTTGACGGCGGTTCTGTAATTATTCAACATAATATATAAAAGGTTAGTTATTTCACCATCTGAAGCACTTTCTTCAGATGAAGGATGTTCCAGCAGGACCTCTTTTGATAAGAACATAATACATTCACTTCTCACTGTCATTTTTAAAATTGTAGTGTTGAAATCTTCAGGTTGAAAGGGTTTTAAATCATTGAAATGTTCTGTGGTGTTGAACGCGTCGTAATTCATGACATTGACATTTACCGCAACGCCCCACTACGTTCAGAAATAGCGCATCCAGAGCCGCTTTCCAGTGCCTAAATTGTTAGAGTATCATGCTCCTGAAGTGTGACGCTCTTGAACTGTTCGACATAAGCAGCACTGGAACGCTCTCGTCTTAACCCCCACCATTTCGGATTTCAGGAGCATGAAACACAGACAAAAGGGTCGGTGCACGAGGGGGCAGGGGATAACAGAAATGAGTAGCTCAAGTGTACGACACTCTAAGCACTGGAACGCGCAAAGCAATTGTGGAGCACTCCTGAGCTGCTCAGGAGTAACTCAAATGGGTCACTGGAAAGCACCCCGGAGTGCACTCCAAGTGATGACGTCAGAACCCTCTGACAAATAACTACTCTACCTTCACACTCCATTTCTAAACGCAGTCTAGTTGTATTCCTTTCACATCTAGAAGGAGCTCGGGAACAGCTCCGGGGCGTTACACGCTTTATTATTATTCCTTTCGAAAAGTGTTTGTTGCTCCACGCATCTGTTCCTTTCAAATCGGGAGCAACTAACACCGGAGCGAGTAGCTCGAGTGATTTAAGTGGCGACAATAGAAGTCCCGCCGCCATTTTGTTGCCTGCCTACCTCTTGTTACTTTTAAATTTGGATATAAAAGATTCGAATGCACATCCATCATGAAAAAATTGAAAACAATGTATTTGATGTACCATCGTCACCAAAAGTATCTAGTATGATGCTGTCTTAGTTACTTTTGGTGACGATGGTACCTATTTTTAATGATGGATGGCCATTTAAATCCTATAGATTCATATTTAAAATTAGCAGAAGGTAGGGCACAAAATGGCGGCGGTTTCCATATGAGTATAAAGGATTTTAAAGAACCAATCAAAAATGAGATAGCAATTGTCGCCACTGTGGTAATAGAGTCACTGTTAATTGGTCACTGTAGTTCGGATGTGACAGAAGTTAATTGACAGCTTTTGAATTTGGTCTATCGAAAGACGCCATGTTTTGCCTGTCACCTCACCGGTTTGCAATCAAAAACGGTTGGTTCTAATTTGAGACGTTTTTTTCTGTTGAACCGTATTTTAAAACGCTTCAAAATTGGTTCGATTGTTACGTCATCATATCAGATCGGTGGTAATCAAAAATGCCCCGTTTTAAAACTGAGCCCATGAAATCTCTAAAATTATTGTTTTGTTGTATTTTGAGGTCAGCTGTTTAACGCCTATTTTGAAACAGGATGAAAGAGCGGTTCGAAACTGGTTGAACCGTTTCCGTATATGACGTCACCGTTGCAACACAAAAATGTAGTCTTTCAAAACGTTTCAAATCATTTCAAAACATTCCGTCAGAAAAGGACGTCTTTGGTTGGCCTTGAAGACGGATCAAAGCGAATCGAAGACAGCCATTGTGAAGAAACCAATCTATATACCCTGTCCAACCAACGAACCAACGTACGGAGTACGGAATGAAAAACAGCAAACCCTTCGAAAAGGTTCATTTTGTTCATTTATCAGCCCGCTGTACACTCTAGAGTGATGTTTTGTAATATTTTGAAATAAATAAATGGCATAAATCCAATGTAAATTGTTTAGTGTAAACCTGGAAGCCATTTTGACTGCCATACCTACTCCGTAGATTCGTTGAACAGAGTTTAGGGTTATGATGAAACTTGTTTGGTTCGGAAAATCTGTGGGGCCCGATTACGAACGTCCGATACGAAGCGCATCCTCCATTTTTGTTCAGAATAGAGGTTATGAACGTACTCGAAGCGAGACAACTCGGATCGGGAACGACGGGAACCATTCTGTTACAGCTTCCGACAACAGTTCTGTCGACGAAATCGTTTTTTGTTTTTTTATCCTTCTTGCACACACACTTGTGACTTGTTTTAGCTTTGTTCTTGTTATGTCATTGGATATTGGGGGCGTTTTGCTTCGTTTTGTTTTTCTTGTGTACTATTTATGGTTATTATTAAAATATATTCCTACATACAAGCGAGCATCTACCCAAGATAGACGAGTCGGGCCCATGGCCATAAGACAAACATTCGCCCAAATATCGAACATCGAGTACTACGACTGACGTCACCTGCTGTCATTCGCAGTCCTCGACCGGATTGTTTCTATTAAAAAAGTGCATTTTGACCTTAAAAAACGTTGTCCGAAGGTTCCTAAAGTTAATAGATTGCCGTAATGGGTAACTTTAATGACGCATCTGGGGCCAAGAACGATGAACCACAAAAGGATAGTCGTTTCGCGTAAGCGCCGCGTTCGCCAATTCTAGCCGACCGCAAAGATTAATGACTGGGCGCGTGATGTACTCCGGCCCACTCAATCCAAAGATTTGGTATTATTGGGTTACATTGCTCTGTAATGAAAATTCGAGAAGTTTAATAAAACGTTTGTCAAAATTTATTGCTTCTAAAAGCCAAAATAACATTATTAATGGCTAAACCATATTATCCTCCTATACCAATAACCTCAGCCAATAACTCATAAAACTTGTTTCGAGTGGGCCAGGTGACGTCAGTACTGGCGGAAAAACATCGCTGATGTGACCATTCTCTGTGGTTTATCGTTCTTGATCTGAGGTGCCATATAGAGATTTGCATATTAGAGGCATACAGATGAGGTCATAAAGCTATCAGCGAATTTCATTGGTTGAAAACAGTCAGAAAGCTAGTTTCAACCAATGAAATTCACTTTAACTGGTTTGTGAATTTTGTGCGAACAGACCTAGAGTGGAGTGGAGTGAGGCTGTCGAGGACCAAGGACTTCTAAGGCCGGAGTTTCATGCATCCGTTTTCCGACGAAATATGTCCGAAAAATTTTCTCTTTTAACATATTTTTATACGATTATGTCAGAATAGAATGTTTTTCGGACATCTTTCGTCGGTAAAACGGATGCATGAAATTCCAGCTTAAAGCTTACTTTTCATACATCCGTTTTTCCATCAGTCCGTTGATCCGGGAGTATACCTATTGGTCCAATATCTTGGCGCCAAAATATTGGACCAATACGAATCCTTCCGGATCGACAGATTGACAGAAAAACGGATGCATGAAAAATAAGCTTAGGGCGGGTATTATAAAACTACTTTGAGAGTTAACTTTAAGTTAACTTCTGAAAATACATGTAATTCAAAAAGTTAACTTCAAGTTAACTGTCAAAGCAGTTTTATAATACCCGCCCTTAACCGTTTCCATTTGACGTTGCCGTATTGTTGGTTGCATAGATTTTATTGATTGTTGTCTATTCACAGTGTCTATTGACGTCACATGCGATTAAAATCCAAAATCAGCCATCTCCATATACCATAACCTCATTAAAAAATTTTTCTTAATTAATTTCCTGGCTTATTAATAATTAATTAAAAGCTAAATTTTCAAGTTCTTATTTCTTATAAAGTATGCCAAATCGATCACGTTAATGTGGTGGTAGAATCGTAAGAGAAAATTTGTTGTTCTATTATAGTTTTTTCAAAATGTGGCTAGACGAAGTGGAGGAAATTTTCAAAGGATACCTTCCTTATTATATCCTAGTTTTTCTGCCGATTTTTATCATAGTTTCCCCTGCGAATCCTGTTTCGGCGGCTCACGAGTTTCCAGTCTACAGGATGCAACATTACGATTTGCATGGGATTTCATTTGGTAAGTTCAAACTTTCGAAAAATTACATAGTCTAGACCGTTTATTACATATACCGGTATTTCTGTTTTCAGGAAGTCGAGGTGCAGCTGTAAACTTAGAAGCCAGATCAATTTCTGCATGGAGTTCTTCCAGACATTGCATTGTCACCAGATTTACAGATTTAACTTTGAATAGTTTTAGAAATATCAGAGGAAAAGCTGGAGCGCTTATTGTCCAGTTACCAAAAACATTATCTAATTTTACTCAAGAAGAAAAACAGGTGATTCTATTTTCTTTATAAACAGTACAAAGAACATCCTCCATTAAGATAACACATCTCAGTTAAAGTCTAGAGTAAATATACAAATTAGCTCAAGGTTGCTATTATTTAACAAAAGATTTTAAACTCTTTTCTAGGCATTTACCTCGGCATTCACACACACTTTTAAAAGTTTGATTCGTGTTAGAATGCAGCACAAGTTTTATTTTCACATAAAGTGAAGCTCCACTAATCCGGATCAATAAAAATCAAGGCAATCCGAATTAATGAAACATCCGGATTATTGGAACTTTTTGGAAAGTTACAAAAATACGTCAAAAACTGTAGTTTATTAACTCAAAATAGGTGCTTATTACGTAGTACAGTTAATTTTTGCAAGTATCGTGTTTTTCCGCCAGAGTTAACGTTTTGTGTGCTCTATTTGGCGCCATGATTCTTCCTACCGAACTTTCCAAACTTGTCACAGAAACAAACGCATCATTTTCAGTGAAATAAGGGGATTCACCGACATAGACTTTGGTAACACCACCTGTAGCGATTGGCGAACTGCGCAAAAAATTATGATCCGGATTATTGGATCACAGGTAATCCGGATTATAGAATACATAATGTTAACATTTAATATTTTAATTTTGTCAAATGGAAAGAAACTTGCTTGTCCAAAGAATGTACAATTCTCTATAAAGCAGGCCTTATTACCGAGAAGTGGTTAACTCCTTGAAATATGTACACAGATTTTAAATCTTCATTGATTTTGTAGGATTTTGAGGATTTTGAAAATCTTCACATGATTTTACAGGATTTTAGAAGATTTTAGGTGATTTTTGTAGCATTTTAGGGAAGTTAGAAGGGTTTTTAGAGATCCTATTTAGCAATTTTAACGGATTTTTGGGGATTCCAAAGGATATTTGAAACTTTTCAAGGACTTTTTTTGTTTTAGGAATATTGGGGATTAGGAAGATTTTGTTGGATTTTTAAAGATTTTCAGGGATTTTAAGTAGATCTTACGAGTTTTTCTGGGATTTTGACCAACTTGTTCACAGATTTTGACCAATCAACCGCTGCGAGGTTTAGTTAACTCTATAAAATAATGGACACATATTTCAAATCTTTATTGATTTTGTAGGATTTTGAGGATTTTGAAAATTTTTACACGATTTTACAGGAGATCAGAAGATTTCAGATTTTCAAAATGTTAGGTGATTCTGCAGTATTTTGGGGGTTTTTGAAAAGTTTTTAGAGATCCTAAATTCAAATAACAAATTTAATTGGAAAATCGGAAATTCCTAGACTTTTACTATAGGATTTCATAATACTTTTCCGAATTTCATCATATGATTCTATGGAATTCCACCATAAAATTCAATGGAATTCTTGGACAAAAATTCCTCGTAGTTACCCTACTTATGAGATTTCATTAAATTCTTCGGAATTCCACTAAAATTTCAAGTTATTCCATGGGAATTCTGCGAAAATTTTGGTTAATTCCATAAATTCCTTAGAATTTCACTAGAAGATTTTATGGAGTTCTTCGAAATTTTATTCGAATGACAAACAGAAATTCTTAGAAATTTTACTATAAGATTTCATAATACTTTTCCGTATTTCACTATAAGATTCCATAGAATTCCATCCTAAAATTCAATGGAATTCTTTTACAAAAATTCCTGAGATTACAGTATAAAATTTCATAAAATTTCTCGGAATTCCACTAAAATTTTATGTTATTCAATAGAAATTACTGAGAATTTCACTAAAATTTTATTCAATTCTTTGGAATCCCGCCGAAATTTCTCGTGATTCCATGGGGGTTCCACGGAAATTCTGTTTAATTCCAAGGGAGTTCTTCGCTGGAATTCCATAATAAGATTTCAAGTAATTCCATGTAATTCGACGAGAATTCCTTGGGATTTTACTCGTCGACACAAAGTGAAATTATATAAGTATAATTTGATCGAAATTTTGCAGATATTTCATATGTTTTTTTCAGAAATCCCACTGAAATTCTGCAAAATTCTATAGAAATTCGATCATTTTTTTAAAACTTTACTGAAATTCCCCAAAATTTCACCACTGAAATATACTGGAATTCCACAAAATTTTAATAAAATTCTTCGGAATTTCACTGACATTTCATGTAATTTCTTAGAAATTTCTGGGAATTCCACTAAAATTTTATGAATTTTTTTTGAAATTTCACTGAAATTCCACGTTACGTTATTAGTCGAAAATGTCTCGAAATTCTAATGAATTTTTTTTTTCAAATTTCATTAATTTCTTTAAGAATGTTTCGGAATGTCTCTGCAATTCTCTTTCAAGAGTCAGGAATTTCTGGAAAGTCAGGAAAACGAAATTCCTCCAGTCCGAAATATATTGAAATTTCATATCATTACATGGGAATTTTTCCAAATTTCACCAAAATTCCAAGTATTTAGCTGGAAATTCCTCGGAATTCCACTTGTGAAATTTTCTCTAATTTTTCTAAAATTCAGTAATTCAATGGGAATTTTTCGGAATTTCAATTTCACTAAGATACCATGTTTTTAACTAGGATTTCTTGAAATCCCTGAGAATTCCACAAACATTTCAAATTCAAAATTCCATATTTTTTTTTTTTTTTAACTTTACTGAAATTCTCCAAAATTTCACCACTGAAATATCCTGGGCTTCCACAAAATTTTCATAAAATCCTTCGGAATTTCATTGACATTTCATGTAATTTCTTAAAAATTCCTCGGAATTCACTAAAATTTTATGAGAATATTTTGAAATTCCACGTTCATAGCCAAAGATTTCTCGAAAGTCAACTTCAAGGAATTTTTCGAAATTTTATTTTTTTTCATAAGAATTTTTCGGAATTTCACTGAAATTCTCTTTTAATAACCAGGAATTTCTGGGAACAATAATGAAACTTCAAATAATTTCTTGAAAATTCACCGAAATATATTGAATATTCATGTCATTACATGGGAATTTTTTGGAATATCACCGAAATTCCATGTTTTTAGCCAGAAATTCCTTGGCATTCCACTTGTGGAATTTTCTGGAATTTTACTAAAATTCAGTAAGAACTGAAATTTCATGCTGGGAATATAGGGGTAATTTCATATACTTAATTGTTTAGAATTCATCCATGCAATTCATTTAGGATTTCGTTCAATTCGATCATGTAATTCGAGAGGAACTAAAATTTAATGTGAATTCTATGGAAACTCCGCAAAAATTTCACATGTAATTCCTTTTTCAGAATAACATAATTCAACCGAAATTCCTCGAAATTCCACTAAATTATGGAATTCTGTGAGACTTTTAACAGATTTTTGGGGGATTCCAAAGGATTTTTGGGAATTTCAAAGGAAATATTTTTTAGGAATGTTCATGATTTTATGAGATTTTGCAGGATTTTTTTGGTTTTAATGAAGTTTTGTTAGATTTTGTAGGATTTTATGCAATTTCAAGAGATTTTGTGAGGTTTTGTTAAATTTTTAAGGATTTCAAAGATTTTTAGGGATTTTGATTAGATCTTATGAGATTTTCTGGGACTTTGATCAACTTGTACAAAGATTTTGACCAGTTAACCACTTCTCGCTTATTACTAAATATTTTTGTAAGGATTGAGTCCATACAGACCCTGATTTCAAGACATTTATATTAAAATCTCTAGACAAATATCACACAAGCATTGACAGGCAATAAGGAGAGAAGAAATCCTAATCTATTTAAAACACAGTGTACGTCTATAAATACATGTAATGTAAAATCGTAATTTTAGGCTAGAGATAAATGAAAATTCGAATTTATTTTCTACTGTCATTTAATTAAATCTTCTAATGTAAAGGTGTGACTTTTGACTGAGTAATTTTCTTTTGGCTAAATCAAGTGTACCTCCATATGTACTTTTTTGCCTAAAATAAATAAAAAGAATTCTTGCAAAAATACTAGCTCATGTCCATTGAGCAAGTGTTGGATATTTTTAATAATGTTGAAGTGAATTCAATGTTGTTCGAGTCTCCTGAAAAATGAGTTTTGATGATTGTTTAAGGGCCGATACTTTTGCAAGGTTTTGCATGGGTCAAGGTCTCAGTGACATGTGATAACTTGACTTCAAATTTAGATAAAGCATTTCATTTTTACTTTCTCCAAGTATTGTATGCATCCTCAAAAATTCACTTGATATTGGAGAATTTGAAAAAATGTTAACCAAATAATATGAGAAAGAGTGAATCTTTTTATAACGGACAACCTGCATGAGTTAAACACCTACTATTTGTTTCACGAGGGTTCGTACTTACGCCTTCCTTTTTTAACAAATAAGAATTGACTGCAACAAATTAATGACGTCAGATGGATGTAGGTATCAACATAACTAAAATCTATTTTTTTATTCCAGCAATTACTACTACTAGAAAACAAAATGCTCTACGAACAAGAAACCTCCATTCCAGTATACTTTACAAAATACGATCCAAAGTTTGACAATATAGTTACCGAATTAGAAACAAATATTGACATATCCAACAAGAAAAAATCCGCAACCGAGGCAATGTTTTCCTCCATTGCTGGTAACGGATATCAAATCGTGATTGCCTCAAGTAACCCAACAGCAAGAACTGATATTAAAATACCCACTTTCCATGGGCATTTAGCTGGTTCTAGGCCAGACGGAAAAGTACCTACAATAGCCATTGTGACGCATTACGATAGTTTTGGAGTGGCGCCGGAGTTGTCTTTTGGTGCTGATGCTAATGGTTCTGGAGTAATTGTAATGCTTGAGTTGATTAGGTTGCTTTCTGGATTATATTCAAACCCTAAAACTAGAGGAAAATATAATATTCTATTTATATTAACTGGTGGTGGCAAAATTAATTATCAAGGTAGCAAAAAATGGCTAGAAGACCAATTAGATTCTTCCGAAGGATCTCTGATACAAGAAGCCTCATTTGTTATGTGTCTTGATACACTAGCTGCGTCTGATACAATTTTCATGCATGTTTCCAAGCCTCCAAAAGAAGGCTCAGCATCTTCAATGTTTTATAAAAACTTGAAATCTGTTGGCGAAGATCATCCATCGGTATCCATAGAAGGTGTTCATAAAAAAATTAATTTAGCCGAGGATATTTTAGCATGGGAACATGAAAGATATAGTATAAGAAGGTTGCCGGGATTCACTTTGTCGACAGTGAAAAGTCATAAAGATTCTTGGCGATCCACTATATTAGATAGTAGGGAGAATTTAGATACAAATCGTTTATCGAGGAATGCTAGGATTATAGTAGATGCTATAGGGAAATATGTTTATGATATTCCAGAAGGGGAGAAAATGGATCCAGATTTGGTAAGAGTTCATTGATTGATTTTAATTCTCTTCAGCATATTTGGCTCTAATTGTCTAAAAAGTGACATATATGAATATGAACCTGGCTCCGATATATCTTTAACTTAAAACTATCACAGATTAATCGGAATCATAATCGATGCATCACTACTTCAAATAAAATTACTCAATTTGTTTCTTCTAGGAAATAGATTCAAATCAAATTGAATCCAGACTAAAATTCTTAGCAGATCAGCCAAGATCTCAACAGTTACTTAGTTCAAAAGATAACGGCTTAGTGACTTCTTTGCAAAACGATTTCAGTAAATATTTAACAGACGTTAAAGTGACGTATGCAGTTCCAGATAAACGAGATCCAGATTACCAATTTTTCGGAAACACTAAAGGAACTATGAATGTTTACAAGTAAGTTGAGAGCGTTTCTGTTGATTTTAAAATAAATTTTTCTTTTTTTTTTCAGTGTGAAACCAGCAGTTTTCGATCTCATTTTAACCTTGGCAATTACTGCCTATTTAACGTCTGTATATTTTGCAATCAATTACATCCCAGCTTTATATTCGTTGTGTTCTAATTTGATAAAACTAGAAAAAGCGAAAGCTAAATGAAATGTGAAATTGTAAAAATATAAGTTTTTCATCATAAATCCTGAACAAAGTAGCAATATTTCCTAGCATAATTTTGATTTTTTTCTTGTGTCAGTAATAGTTGAGTTGCCCCTAATTTTTTTGCTAGCTTTTTATTTGGTCAAAATAGGTACCAAAAATGACATCCTAAATAATTGTACTTTTTGTAGTCGGTGTAAGAACAAATAAAACTCGGTGTTGTTTGTTTATACAAGTTCTTCCTCAAATGATATACATAAATATTATGATACATCAACGGTGGGGCCCTCTACCACCATAAACCAGTGAGTAGCTTCTGGAGCTCGAAAGATGATTTTCACTGGTTTAGAGGGATAGAGCGCTATGCCGTCGATGTATTTGAGTTAGAACTTGTATTTTGTGCATATTTGATATATTTTTCTTGCAATCAAGAAGTTCCAATTCTTGTAATTTTTACATTACTTTATATTTTGGTCAAATTTTGATATATATATTAGGTGAATAATTTTGTTGGTAGGATTTTAGTGTTTTTTTTTTCTTTAAAATAAAATTCGCAAAAAAATAATTTGATGTTTTTTTGTCTATATCCAGTTGTTCCACATTCAATTTATCAGAGTCAACAAACGCTAATTCGTTAATCTGGTACATCTGGTAAGGCGTGAGATCCTTAAGCAAATGCAATAGATACGCTTTTTTGACTGCCAGATAAAGAGTTTAATGTTTCCGCTATGAAATTAAATATCTTCTTATCAATTTGATGAGTGCATATAAAATGTAAGAGTGGTTCAATTTAGAGTTCCACGGCCTTATTTATGAAGTAATTTAAATATATGATTTACATTTGCTTGCTTTGCATTTAGAGTTCAATGTTTGCAGACTTGGTAATTTAAATTTAAGTGTAGCGCCTTTATTTTAAGTTTGGCAATATTTTCTTGTATGTGAAAGAACTTTTGTCTCTTATACCGTAAAGTGTATATTAGTTCAATTTTTAAAATTATTAAATTCTATTAAAAATTCACTAAATTTAAATTGCTTTTTTTTCTAGTCTACAAAGAAATAAACTGAAACGATGAAGCCTTAGATTTTTTGAGCCATAGGTGAATTCCATAGACAAAATTACTTGGAAGTATATCAAAATATATTTCTATACATAGGAAACTCAATACCAAAAAAAAAAGGAAACATCCAGCATATGTTGTTGAACCGCACACAACAAAACAAAAGCCCCGCAATATATTTGTCCCACACATGTCCAAAATAAGACGTCTTCCTTTGCTTAATATACTCTTTCTTGGTGCGTATCGTTTTCATGCTCCTTTCAGTCTAATTGCGTTTATAAGCGCGACAGATCCCAAAATTAAATTGTGTGCGTGCTGCATTTGCGTTCAAAACTCTTCGCAAGTTTGAAGATGTTTTGTAATAATAATTATTATTCAAGTGAAAAATGAATATCAACGGGAGTTTTGATGCTTTAAATATAACCAATGAGTCGATTTTGGTGAATGTTACCACAAGTTTGGAAGAAACGCATGTATGGTGTCCAATATGGGTTGTTTATGGATTTTCGGCTATATTTATTTTTGGCTCACTTGTTAACTTGTTAGAAGGTTTGGCGGTGTTGCGAAGTAAGAAAAACGGTAAGTGGGTTCAAAAGTCAACTGAAGATTTTTTTTGGATTGGTTTAAAATAAAGATCGGAATATTCTTAATTTAGATAACTAATATTTTTTTAAAGTTGCACTTGCTTGGTAGTGGGCTACAAATGTTTAATTTTTCTTGTTAAAGTGAAATATTAAAAATCCTTGCATAAATAAGACATGCGCTTTTTTTATTTTCAAAATCATTTGAATTATACGAGATTGTGGTCTGTGGACACAGCCCTTTATCTTATCTGTGTGGAACATGGGTGAGTAACCTACTAGTCACTTTTAATCTCGAAAAGGATTTACCAAAACTAACAACTTTTTTACGATTTTCGTTATTCAGGCACCTATACAGGGTGTCCGGGATAACTTGAAGTACATGGGGATTTTGGAAAGCATTTAAGATACAGGGTGGACCAAATGGGAGAAAAGCAAGGAAGAAAAAGTGCGTTTTTCAAAATCCTTTGTATCTTGTTTACTATAAAAGATACAATCAAAAACTTCAAATTTGTAGACAGTAAATTCCGTAACTTTTTTCCCATTTGGTCCACGGTCCACCCTGTATCTTCTATGGTTTCCAAAATCCCCAGTTCCTGCAAGTTATTTTGGACACCCAGTAGGTTAATAATTCGAAAACTTCTATATAAACAAAAAGATGCATTTGGAAATATAAGTTCAACAGACGATTTACTACTACATTTCTTACAAGTCATCCATTCATATTATTCAGTTTTAGTTCAACAGTTCAGCGTTTAGCGATAGTTGGATGTTGAATGATAATTATACTCAAAACAGGGATGAAATGATGAATATAGCAATTCTTCAAAATGGCCATCCAGATTCCCAGATTTAACGCTTCTAGTCAAAGTCAATTGAACAACAAACATTTGGAGTACCTATCTATTTATTACTCGATAGACTGCATAGGCATCTCCCATGCAGGGCAAGTGATTAGAAGAAGATGAAATGCCATTGAAATGTGTCAAAGTTTATGACCAAACGTAAAGAAAAAATACTATATGTACTGAGATATTTGCCATACTGCCGCGTCTTCTTCTTCCCCCTGGCTTCCCACTCAATAATTTGCTTGGGTATTCTTGTATCTGCCATTCTTTGTACATGTCCGAACCAGATCAGTTGTTTGTCCTTTATATCATCTACTATTGTGTGTTTAACGTCTATAACCTCCCTAATTCTCAGATCTGTTATCCATCCAAACGTCCATTTCAGTTGCTTCCAGCATTTTTGCGATTCTGTTCTTTAGTGGCTAGACTTCTGTATATGTGACTATGCTTTTGACGATGGTGTATATTCTAGTTTTGTTAGTTTTGTTGATATTTTGGACCCACGGTACACCATTTAGTAGAAAAATTGCCTTGTTCAAATATTTTTATTCAGTACATTGTTTTATTTCTTGTCCATTATTCAATTTCAGAGTTCGTTGTTCACCTCCTATAGTCATATAGGTATTCTGTTTTAGTTAGATTTACTTCCAAACCCCATTTCTCGTATTCCTCTATCAATTTTCGTGTCATGTACTCTAGGTCATCATAGTCCTGTGCAATTAATACTTGATCATCTGCAAAACTTGAAGTATATAGATTGTATTCATTGAGCGACATTCCCATGTGTCTGGATTTGTTTTTCCACCCTGTAAGCGCTTGTTCTAAGTATATTTTTGAAAATTGTTGGTGATATTCAGTATCCCTGCTTAAGTCCTTTAGTTGCTATAAAGCCTTTACTGATTATGTTTCCCTGTTTAATCTTGATCTTAACATCACTATACTATAGAGCGTTTTCACTGCCTTTATTAGTTCTAAGTTGATATTGGTCTTTTCCAGTGCTTCCTAAAGCTTTTTCAGCGGAACATTGTCATCGCTTTCTTTGGATCTACAAAGAGTAAATGGAGTTCTTGGTTATATGCTAGTTTCTTTTCCATTACCTGGATCAAACCAAATAAATGGTCTACACTTGATCTTCTTGCTCTAAAACCGGCCTGTTCTTCTGCCTCACTATCTTTGTACTCTATTCTAGCTTTTATAAGTTTTCCATACTCTCTGGTCAGCGTATTTTTTACTGCAATTCATCGGTGGTTCTCGCATTTGTTTCTGTCTCCTTTCTTATAATCGTTGTTAAATAGTTTATTTTCCACTCTTCCGGTACTTCATGTTTATCTATGCATGTTTGAAATAGTTTTGTTAAATGTTTGTAGAGTTTATTGGTCCCATACTTTATCAGTTCTCCATATATATTTTTTTTGAGCCTGGTGCCCTACCAGAAGCTACAGTGTTTTTTAAATTCTTCTTGCATGACTCTTATTGGTGAGCCTCGAGTTATTATGTTTCGTGTCTGTTCCTTTTTTTTCTTTAAACTCTGCCCGGTGTTTTGTTAGTAATTCTTCAAAGTACTCTTTCCATTGCTGGGGTGTTATTGTATTGATAATGTATTAGTATAATGTATGTATTAGGTATAAGTTTATTCAATATTTTAAATAAACTTACAGTATAAACAATAATATTTCTTGAATGTACTTTTGAAAACCACTTTTCAGGTGAATTCAAATTTTCAGTACATTTTCAGGAGCGATGGGTAAACCATTTTGAAAACTGTGTACACCAGAATCCCACGAAATCCTACTGAAATCCCTAACAATTATACTGGAATCCCACCGAATCCTACTGGAATCTCACCGAATCCTATTGGAATCCAATGGAATTCCTTTAGACAGGCCATAAAATACCTTTCTTGAATTCTTAGAACTATTTTGAACGCTAGCAAGCTGTGACGAAAACAAAAAAGTCTTATTTTTCAATTTAGCCGCCACTACATAGGTACTAACTGAGGTACTAACTAAAAACCTCAACTCATCAAGGAAACTAAGGAATACTATTGGAATCCTACGGAATTCCACCGGCACCCCACGGAATCCTACTGAAATCCAACGCAATCCTACAATCATACGGTATCCAACTGGAATCCCATAAAATCCTATTGGCATCCAATGGAATTCCTCCAATGGAATTTCTCGAGGAATTCCATGGAATTTCTCGAATTATTTTGAACGCTAGCAAAGACTCTATTTGTTAAGCCAAGCCGCCACTATGTAACAAAACACTATCCATTTTTTGACATATAAGCCAACATTATATTTTTTTAAATGGAACACCCTGTATATTATACGTGTGTTCCATAGAATATCTTATTCTGATAACAATGATATAACAGACTTCATATTTTGGCCCTGAGAAATTATTGAGAGTGTATATAAAAATGTCATATATTTTTGCCGATTTGTCAAAAACGAGTGGATAAAATATGAAGTGTGCTATATCATTGTAATCAGAATAAGATATTCTATCGAATACACATATAATATACAGGGTGTTCCATTTGAAAAAAATATAATGTAAGCTTATATCTCGGCTTATATGTCAAAAAATTGATAGTGTTTTGTTTTATGAGTAACTTAAAAAAAAAATTTGGCTATTAACACTACATTTTGTTTTTTTGTTCACCTTGATATCTTTAAAAACAAAAAAGTTACAGGTGATCAAAATGATAAAGATAAAAAAACACCCGGTACAAATTAAAAAATGTCGACTCATCAAGCAAACTATAAGAAATCCCATTGGAATTCCACTGGTATTCCACGGAATTCTACTGGAATCCCACATGCTTGTACACTATAATTCCAAGGTGGTTTATTCCTCGTTAAGTAGTAAGTAGGTACCTAAAATAAATTGCCAAATTTAAGTAACAGCAGAAGTTCTTTTTTAAAATTGTATTGATTATTATTTTATGGGTACTCTTCTTCTGAATTACCATTGTACCCTTTAACAATAGACCATTGTAATTTGTATATTAATAATTTCTAAGTATGTTTGTGCAAAATTGTGTACCTGTTAGTTAAGTTAACATATAAAAAGTGACCCACCGTATAGTTTTAGGTAGTCTGATGAAGCTACAGTGTAGCGAAACATTTTACTGTTGTAAATAAATTAGTGAAAATTAAGTAAAAATACTTTTTATTACTTTTTCCAACCATGGATAAATTCAATTTTCACCAAGTATCGACTCAACTATGAGGAGAAAAAAATATCGCTATAGCGCTTAAGGTTGCAATTTACCAAGAAATTTTCCAACTTAAACATGCCCTTTACTTTCAATAATAAAAAAGTTACTGAGTGTACCAGTTATAAACAAACACTCAGTACCATCGTTACCAAAAGTAACTGCGACAGCATTATATTAGCTTTAGTACTATCATATGAATTTTATTGTCAAACTATGAATTAAATGCATTGAAATTAATGATGGTAGAATTAGTCCAGGAGATTAATATGAATTATTTTTGTCCCAGATACTTTTGGTGACGATGATACATTATCTAAAGAAAATTCAGCAGTGGAAGTCAAGTGATGAATAGCAACAAGAATCCTTTCAGATAAAATAAAAATAATCATCAAAATTGCATAAAAATTGCCAATGTTGAACAATAACATGAGAGTAAAGCTAATAGTAACACCAGGAGCATGATCACAAGTGCTGTGAGAGATACGGTAGATATCAGGAGGTCCGTTCGCACAGAAATCACAAACCAGTCATAGTGAATTTCATTGGTTGAAATTAGTTTTCTGAATGTTTTCAACCAATGAAATTCGCTCTGGCTGGTTTGTGATTTCTATGCGAACAGACCTAGAGAACAATGGTCAAAGAGTCAGCATATGAAGCTCAGTTAGCACTCGTAAATCAGTTTGAAGCATTATCTGGTTGTTTCAACTACATGCAGATTTTTTCTATTTTGATTGGTCCATTGGAGATGTGTCAACACATATCGCAAAACTCAAATGTATTTTTAATGAACTAAACAATGGACTTGCTGCAAAGAAGTTAAGTAAACTTCTACACTTGATGATAATTTGCACAATTTTGCACATTCTACCAAGTCGGTATGAAAATTTTGAGTCTAGACAAAAAATACAAAGAAAAATCTTTGTACTTGTAGCTAAATTTATTGTCAAAATAAATTTAAGTCTTACCTGGCAGCAGAGGAACTACTAATCAAAATCATTTTTTTTTCCAGGTGTAATGTCCATCCTACTTCAAATCAACCTAATAGACACTATTTCAATCCCTTCAGTTCTTTTGGAAATATCCACGTCTTACCAGCAAACATGGAACTTCAACAGTCAAATTTGCATGTTATACAACGGCGTTCAGATTTTATCAAACACCTTAATCATCTATTTAATAATTTGTCTTAATTTTCATATAATTACTTTCTGGAACTTGCATTACGTTGAAAATGTGAGGAATAATAGAAATCCTTTGACTAGTAGTTTTAATGATGATAGTTCTAGCAGTGAATGTTTGGTAACAAGAATAGTCAATATCGATTATAGGAAAAGAAAAACTGATATTCCAGTAACCTTTCCTGTAATTTTTTTATGGATTTTGAGTTTGTCTATAAGTATGCCAAAATATGTTTTATCTTCAATCGTAGAAATTGAAAATAGGGCTTTGTGTGTTATTATAGAAAATTCCTACGGAAAAATTTTGCATACATTACTTGTATTATTTAGTGTAATAATTCCTTGTAGCCTTTTGTTAGTTTCTTTATTGATTTTATTTTATAAATTATCAAAAACGTCACAAAATAGAAACATCGATACAGCATTAACAAAACAATTTCAAGAAATTAGAAGGATTCTAAAATTTGCACTAATTTTCACGATTTTTTATATAATCACTTCATATCAGAGACACTTTTTTATTATGTCTGTAACAATACGGGAATTTTTTATTTTCGAAAACTATTATTATAATAATATCCTCAATATTTATCAAATAATGTTACACTATTGTGGCAATACTTTCAGGGGCATAATTTGTTACTTTTTTGTTGTTACTGTTAAACAAGCTATTGTGAAAAAGTTATTTTGTTGTAAAAATCTGGAAACATAATTTTCAAATAAATCTCAAATTACCCGTCAGGCGCGTTTTTTATTTACATTTATTTGCAGGTGAAAGTTCAAGCAAAGTCTCCCAACACTATGACGCATTATAATTAGTTTGTAAAGGCATTAAAACAAAAGTAATATTACGATTTTGAGATTTGCGCAATAAATCTGCCGCGTGCTGCAATTGCAGTGCGCAGTCTGGATGCGCTGTGCCTGGCAATTGCATACATTCCTGCTCGAAAATGTATGCCAACCCAGTGAGAAGTTCCAGAAAACCTAGTGAAATTGCTGCCTTTCTCAATCTATTTAATTCCTAGAATAATATAATTTTCAGTAAAAAGTATTATACTTAAATAAAAAATATGTTTTACCTTATAAAACTGTTGAGTCTTGTCGGGTAATTTCCTAGCATGACGTAATATTTTTTGTATATCAGATTGCAAGCCTGCTTGCCTAATCCAAACAACCCCATTTTGTGAATAACTCCGTTTTTCGCTGGGTTTTATTGGAAAAGCGACAACTTGCTCTGGCGTGTACATATCAGCAACACCTAAATCATTTAAATCTCCTAGCCAAGGTATAACATCACTTCCAGGAGGTAAAATGGTCAACATCAAATTGCTTTTTTTCTTAGAATCAGCCCAGGAGTACACGAAACCAAACCAATTATGTCCGACCTCAACCAAAGCAGCTCTATTTTCAACTTTCAAAGCTCCATGAAGCAGTACACAAAATGAGGGGGTATTAGACTCATCGCTAACCAAATTATCGTCAGTTGTGCCCGACTCATTTGAAGTTTCTTGCTTTTGAGAGCTCACAGGAAGAATTAAATGGCGACTTAGTGCCATAGGAGAACTGATATCTGGAACGGGGATGAAACCACATACTTTGATTATCTCTGATATGTTGTAGGTTTGGGTGCTAAAGTCTGTTGTTTTTGTATGGGCCTGTAATATTTACTTGTTTAGGAGCATGGAGGAAATGAAGAATTACTTACCATTGGTGTCGGTGATAACATAATTTTGGTCTCTAAGCTACCGCATTTTAAAACTCCTTTGAAAGGCGTGTACATTTCTTCTGCTAATTTTTGAAATATTGTTAGTACATTTGATTCTGTTTGTAAATTTTCTGGTACTTGTATGGAACCTAAATTTCCGCTATAGTCTATTAGTTTTTGGTAAAGAGGCTTGGCTAGAAAAAAAAAATACAGATTTAAACATGCAGAAAATATTTTACGTTCACTGATAATTCAGTTTGATAGCTTTTTGGATTACAATTAATACTTTCTGATATTTTTAAGTTCAAATGTTGCTAATTTCTTGAATCTTTTTACTCAATTGCTTTTACTGTAATATTGCCACTGAAATCACAGCCAAAATTTCAACAGGAAGTGATCCCAGGAGCTATCTAAAGCATGTAGTGGTGAACCCATCGCTATGCCAAACTTCAAAATTTCTTCTGGTTGCTATGCCCTGAGAGTTATTGCTAATATTGTGAATTTCTCTATTGCCAAATGTGTTATTGAGTCCCAGTTCCAATATGGAATTTACTTCTCGGGTTCCTATTCTGTCTCTCTATTTACTTCAGTGTTCCTACTATTGAAAAGAGCTATGTCTGTGGAAATAAGCCTCGTGATTCGTGTCGTTCTGTGTTTTTAAGCCGCGGTATTCTAACTTTGTGTTGTCTTTTTATTCTGGAAACTGTTTAGTCTTTGGAAAGTATAAGTGTGAATTGGAGCTAAGGTGTCAATACAATAAGTGCCAAAATTACATATTGAGATTGCCTATCTCATACTCAGAACTTATCCGGGCCTCTATTATATATGAGGGCAAAAAATTATTCAACAGACACAATTTTTGTGCAATTATGTTGCCGAGATAATTGTGGGCAACAGTTAATGATATGAAAAAATTGAAATTACCAGTAAAAAAAAATGATATATTCTACATTCAGTTCTGACTTTAAAAAGCTCGTATTTGTTGAAAATACTGATCCTTCACCCGGGCTTTTCCTTATTAAAGTAATCTTGTCTAGTGGAAACCGAAATATTTATAGGTTTTTTCGTTTCCCCCTTCTTATATACCATGGATCATGTTTCCATTTGGGAGGACATCACATATAATCATTGTTATTATTGAACAGGATGCAAATTATAAGTACCAAGATGTTGACAAAATTTGACTCAACTATCCAAAACTGTACTTTGGAAGATTGTTCACTATTGATAGAAATAAATTAATACAGTAGAAACCCCGGTTATCCGAGGTAAGGTAGGGGCACCCTCCTCAGATAACTGTGTATGTTTTAGAAACTTGGTTAATACGGAGTATAAATACGCGTACCTCGGATAATCAGGGTATTTGGGTTAGTTGTGACTTTGCTGTGACTGAGTTAGCTCGGATAATTGTGACTAGGATAATCGAGGTTCTACCGTATTTAGTTTTAATAAACTCAACTAACATACATTTAATAAAACTTGGCTCATTAGATCCAGCAATGCAGACTACATGAAGTTTAGTTGGAAATGGAAAAGGCAATGGAAAAACTGGCCCAGAAACGCCTCTTTGATTCACTGTTGCCAATGACTCTTTTAAGCTCATAGCGCCAATACCCGTGCTTCCGTCTGTTACCAGTATTATCTAAAATACAGATAAATAAAACATAACTAAAGAGAATGTTATTTCAAAACTTACTTGGCAAGAAGTATTGTTACCCCATTCGCCAAGTACCATTTGACCAACGCCATGGAAAGCAGTTTCTATGCACGTTTTGTCATAGTCATCAATATTTTTTAGCTTGGTTTTTATTAGGTTGGTATCTCGGGTGAAAGGACATCGTTCTTCGTATAGGGATGAAAAGGCCATCTAAAAAAAACTAACATTTCAAACTAAGAAAGTTAAAGGCAGTCCCTTTTGCAAAACCCTATACAATCAAAGCAAAGGGATAATACTGTCTGGTTTAATTGTCAAATAATTAAGCTAATAACAAAAACATAAATATTTTATAAAATCTAAAAAATACAAATGACAATATTGGAGGTGTAAATATAGTTCATTAAAGATAAAATTAAGCTTGCTCATCAACGGTATCTGGAGGATATAGAGAGGAGTTTGAGAGTAGATCCGAAATTGGAGGAGCTTAAAGATTCAGCAGACATGACTTTTGAGAATGGAACATACTCTGAAACTCAAAATGTAGCTGATGGGTTTGCAGGATTTTTTAGGTCAGTTTTCGTGGAAGATGGTGATCATGAATATGAAACTTTCAAAGTTAAATCATATTTTTGTGATAAAAAGACATAGAGAGGGCTATCAAAAAAAATAAAGGCAACGAGATCCATCGGCCCAGATGGGGTTCCTGCCTGCCTATGTTTTGAAGGGAGGCTGTGAACACCTTCTAAAACCCTTGGAGATTTTGTTTAACCTAATTTTGAAAACTTCTAGTTATCCCAATAAATGGAAAGTTAGTAAAGTGATTCCTATCTTTAAGTCTTGCTCCAGAGAGGATATTAAGAATTATCGACCAATTAGCATAATGTCTGCGGTTTCAAAGATATCTGAAGTGTTGCGAGGTATTGTTCAGTGAGATATCTGGTAGGATCACATCATGCCAGCATGGCTTCTTTCCCAAGAGGTCAACTTTGTCTAATCTGATCACTTTTTCTCAATACGTTCATGAAACAATAAACAATAAATGTCAAGTTGATGTGGTCTATATAGATATGGAAAAGCCTTTCACAGGGTTAGGCATTGTGTCATTCCTAAGGCTCTGTCGGACATGGATGTATCCTCGTATATTATAAAGCTGATTCAATCATACCTGACCCAAAGGCCTCAGTATGTTGAAATTGAAGGATGTAAATCGGTAATCTACAAAATTACGTCTGGTGTTCCACAGGGTTCAAACTTGGGACCACTACTCTTCTTGGCCCCAATAAATAATATAATGAATAGTGTGGAGATGGCTAGAGCCTTACTTTTAGCAGATTATTTCAAGTGTTTTCTTCAAATAGGCTCTACTGATGACTCTCCAAAATGATTTCTATAACGTGGCCTCTTGGTGCAATACAAATGATTTTAAATTAAATATTGCTAAATGTTCTTGTATGTCTTTCAGCCTTAAACATGATTTGATTCGCTATGACTATACACTTAATGGTTCACCGCTTCATAGAGTCGAAAATCAAAAGGACCTGGGAGTCATTTTTGGTACGTCATTACCCTTCTCTAAGCACATTACTTTGAAGATAAACAGTGCGCAGAAAATATCTGGTTTCATAACAAGAAATACCAAAGATTTGAATATTGATGTAAGTTTGCACCTTTTTGATACCCTTGTTTGGCCAATTTTGGAACAATATGAATGCATTATCTGGTCACCGCAATATGTTTATGGACAACGAATGTCGAAAGGGTGCAAAGGAAATTTCTGAAGTTTGTTTATTATCGGGGGTGTGATGTCCTTTTAAAAAATCAGCAAAAATGATGTTTTCTTAAAAAAATGTCCCTGTTCCATTGATTTCTATGTATCCTGTATCTGGAAATGGATTTAAAGAGCTCATTTGAGTAACATTTTTCCAAGTTTTGAACCAATTCCTCAAATTTTGTCCAAAAGTTTAAATTAAGTATTAAGGAATTGGGTAGACTAAATTTCCTATCTTTGAATAGAAACAAATCTTTAGCTATTCAAATTAGTAAGCAGCCAATTTTTTATTAATTTTTACAGAAATCTGAAGAAAAAAAATAGACATTTTGGAGTAGGTAGAAAAGTTAACTGCTTTATTTATCAAGATTTGCTTTAGAAAAAGCGCTAAACGGGTGGTAGATATGGGGTGGAATGCATAAAAAGTACTACATGCCTAATGTTTCAAGTATTACATGCTTAAAGTTTATAATACACTATCGAAGCATTTACTACTCTCCAAAGTTAGTAGCATATGCTACGGAGATAAGTTAATGCTTTGTTAGTATAGTATAAACTTCAAGCATGATGTAAATATTTGAAGCATTAGCATTTACCACTTTTTATGCATTCTACCCATGATCTCAGACTTGTATTAATTATAGTGACAACTCACAAAACATACTCCATTTTAGAGCACACTCCAAATAATGAAAAAAAGTTACATAAGACTCCTTAAGATTTCTCAAATTGGTGTTTTTCAGAATTTTAAAAGAGCAGTACATGATAATTATTAAATAAAACACACATATGCATGAGGAAAAAAAATCGAAATTTTATTTGAAACAAACAAATTTGTCAGATTACATAATTACATGGTTAGCAATACAACCAGTTCCAATTAAACAAAATTAATTTAGGTAGTTCAATACTAAATAGTTATCACTTATTTTCCACCGACAGCCGCCTGGGCTGCTTTCTTTGCTTTTACAGTTTCCACCAGTTCCTTGTAACGTTTCATGCACTCTTTTTTACTACGATTTGGTATGCATTCAGCTATTCTTTCCCATCTTTCTGGAGTCGAAGCAGGATATGTTTTTAAAGCTTGCTCTAAATGTTGCTGTTCTGTTGTTGTCCAGGGGAGCTTGTCAAATGAAACAAATTTTTCTGTCTTATTGGTTTGTTCTTTTGTTTCTTTATTGTTAAGAGTATCTTCTTTTACTTCCTCTTTTAATGAGGCCTTTCTAATGCCATTTGTAACATTGCCATTAAGAGTCACTTCTTCCATTTTCTTCGAAATTCCACTTTCATCAACATTTAAAACAGGTTTTTTATCTTTTTTAAATGTATCAAAGGCTTTTTTATTGGCTTGTTCTTTAAGATTGTTTTTAGAAAAGTCTGTGCTCTGGAGATCTTTAGCTTTTGCTAAAACAATCTTTGCTGTGAATTTACTGCTATCTGGCTTGAAAACTCCATGTTGATTAATAAAGTTAGCAATAACTTCCCATCTTTGATTTGTTCCTGCAGGAAATAGATTCACAGATTTCACCAATAATTGTAAATTTTCTTCGTTCCATTCAGGTGCTATTTTAATAATAGCACTATTTTTTTCTTCTGCAATCTTTTGTTTCCCAGCATTTAAAACAGCTTGGCGTTCTTTTTCTACATTTTTTTCATAATCCTGTATGGCCTTTAGGAATGCTGTTTTGCCATTGTTTTTAATATTTTTATTAAGTTCCTCTAATGCTTCTACACTTAGGTTTTCACATATCGCTTCTATTGTTGTTATATAACGTAGATTTTTATCACTATCGTCCGTGAAATATTTATTTGATTTACACATATCTCTAAGCTGCTTGCGTTCTTTTTTAAGAGCTTTTTTAATAACTTCACGTTCTTGTCTTTTAACTTCTATTCTAGCTCTTTCAGCAGCTTCAGCTTGTTCTTTTGCTAGTTGAGCTTCTTTAAGGATTCTCTCTTCTTCATCTTTCTTTTGTTGAGCAGCTGTTTGCTTAGCTCGTTTTGCTGCTAATTTCCTATCCTTGTCCTCTTGTTTGAATTTGGCTATTCTGGGGTCATTATTGTAAGCTAAATCTACTAATGCTCTTATTCTTGACATTTCTTCTTTCTTTTTTCTTAATCTTTCTGCTTTATTTAATTTATCTACATATCTTCTTTCATCTCTGTCCTGACACTTTTCTTTGTCTTCTTCGTCTTCATATGAGTATTCCCTCCAAGATTTAAAATCATACCAAAAAGAGTAAAATCTTTCAACTTCTTCTCTGGTGGAATTCTCGTTTCCAAGCTTAGGTACTTTGGATCTCTCAGACCAACGAGCGTTTAGGTTAAAATAATAAGTGAAAATTTCAAAAAAGTCTTTTTTGATTTCAGCATTGGTGGGAATATTATTGTCAAATTCTGGATCAACTGAGTCATAAGCTCGTCTTTTCTGTATTGTACCTAAAGTTTCGTTAGCCATAGTGATATTAGTAAAATAATCATCGTCAGGTTTGATTTCCTCTCCTAATGCTTTCCTTTTATCAGGATGATGTTTTAGAACTTTTTTGCGATAAGCTGTCTTGATAATATCATCAGTTGCTTTAAATCTCAAACTTTCTATACCTAGTACTTTGTAGTGGTCTTGGGACTTCCATTCCTTGGGATCTAGGCTTCTTAGATATTCAACATCATCAGTATACACGACATCTTCAGGTTTAAGTTCGACTTCTCGCTCAGCAGGTTCTGGGAGCTCCACTTCAAGTTCGATGACAGGGTGGGCCTCAAACTTAAGTTCCGGTTCACCGCCACCAACATTTTCGTATAGGAAACGATAACGTAGCCCCACAGTCTTGCAAGTGTTGTTTAATGCTGCTTTGGGTTCACCCATGGTCCTCTTTAAATCATAACCTCTGCACGGTTGAAGAATATGATTTGCCGCTAAGGATTTTGTGGAAAGCGGTTCTTTGTAGCGAATTTCGGCAGCAGTTTTCGTGTATAACAAACAATCGATTAATCGAAATTAAAACTGAAGAGGATTTAGCAACTGATTCACCACATGGTAAATTGTCAAAAAAAGACATATATTTTGAAAGAGACTTATGGATTTTTATTTTTAATTATGGCAACATTGGTAAATGACATTGTTGACAACCAAGATTGCCAACGTAGGAAGATTTGGGAAACGAGTTCCATACATAAAAATGTGAAACTTTTTTATTTCAGTACAGTTTTCTATTATATAGCGAAAGAAATCAATTAATTGGTGAATGTTATATTGATATTAATAAAAAGTGAATAACTGAAATGTTTGGTTGGTTGCATTGATTGCGATAGAAACCTGGCAACATTGCATATGTTTTCTTTTCTTACTCAAATAATTGGATTGGATTTTCAAATTTACGTACCAAAGCAATGAACTCCAATTTTGAATGTGCACCTAAATGGTCCAGGAAAGCTTCAATTCCATTAATGGCAAGCTGCTTCCTTGTGGTCTCGGTACCATCGGAAAGCTGCACTGGTCTGGTCATCGACAAAGAAACGTCCAAGAGGATAACAGTAGGCATTTCGTGCTTTAATAAATATTATTGGTTTTATTTTAATTCAATCATTAATGATGTTAATGAAATAGGAAAAAGGAAAAAGTCTTTATTTTGATTTAGGTTTGTTGATGTTTGTTTGATCTGAGTTCTGTCAAATGTCTACAAAAAAAAAATGTCAGCATAGTTGAAATTTATAGCGATTTCCATTTGTAGAATCAGTGCACAACATGCTTTTAGAAAAAAATGCGGATACACTCAGTGCGCAGTGGTGACTGGTGATTATCAAAAGGGAAATCGGCATTAGGCTTGTTCATATCGTGCACTCTGAGTCGTTTTCCAGTGTCGCTCTTAAAGCACTCCTGAGCTATTCTAGGGCTCCCCGGGCTGTTTATTGCGTTCCACTGCTCCACAATTTCGCGCAACTGAACTGTTTGTGTGGAACACGTTAAAATTACTCAAAGCGGCTCTGGCTGTGTTCGAGGAACACGCTATCTGCGCCATCTGGTACAGCTCTCTGTTCGCGGAGCAATTCTGTTGCACTTAAAAGCGCTTAAGTGGCGTCATTTTTTTTCGTCGCTACTCGCTACGTCATCGTTAACAACACAATAGTTCTTTTCACGTGGCTCCGGTTTAACTAACCGGGTTACAAAACGGTTAGAGAAATGACATACCGTTTTCTAACCCGGTTACAAAGTGACGTGATGGATACCTACCACTCGAATTTGAGCGGTATGTCGCAGTTTGTGAAACCGGTGCCACGTGAAAAGGGTTAATGGCGAGTATTAAAATTACTTTGACAGTTAACTTTAAGTTAACTCCTTCTTCCTCATGTAATTCCAGAAGTTAACTTTGAGTTAACTGTTAAAGTAGTTTTATAATACCCGCCCTAATACTGTAAGGGCAGCTATTATAAAACTGTTTTGACAGTTAACGTGAAGTTAACTTTTTGATTTACATGTAATTCCAGAAGTTAACTTTAAGTTAACTCTCAAAGTAGTTTTATAATACCCGCCCTTAATAGTTCTTTTCACGTGGCTCCGGTTTAACTAACCGGGTTACAAAACGGTTAGAGAAATGACATACCGTTTTCTAACCCGGTTACAAAGTGACGTGATGGATACCTACCACTCGAATTTGAGCGGTATGTTGCGGTTTGTTAAACCGGAGCCAGGTGAAAAGGGTTAATGGTTGCGACAAATGTCATTGGCTGCGACACGCGTGTTGCTAAATTCATCAAATGGTGCACCGCCACGGATGCGGTGATTAAAATTCACTAATGCCAATAGTTGTATTCCTTTCAAGAGTTTGAAACACTAGAGCTACTTGCTCGTATTAGTCGACCCCGATTTGAAAGCAACAGATGCGCTGGCTTTCATGCAATGGTTTGAGTCGGGCTTCAGCACTCAGGTGCAACAAACACTTTTCGAAAGAAATAAGCGCGTAACGCCCCGGAGCTGTTCCGGAGCTCCTCCTAGGTGTGAAAGGAATAAAACTAATGCCAAACCACAGCTTGTCAAACCCTGTTCAATTTGAAAACACTCCTTTTTCTACCATATTCCACCATTGATTCTACCACGGTGCCAGCACCAGCTGAATTTAGCCACACACGGTATGGAATGCAATTTTCAAGCAGGATAGGAACGGTTCAAGAATAATACATATTACATAATACATACTACTACTACTACTACAGAATAGCTCATCCTTTCCATCCTTTGTGTAGAACAAATCTAAAGCTCCCCCACCACGCGAAATCACCAGTTGTGATGTAGCACCATGTCGTTTCTCGCCTTGACGTAGTTTGTTTGCACCACAGGGTCCACAGGCTATGATTCCGCGGGCTTTTGCTTTTCGCATACTTGATTTTACTACATTAATTAACATTCTAAAACAACTGCAACTGCATCTTCCTATTTGCCTATTATGTTAATCAAAATTAAATCATATTTTTCATCATAAATTTAAATTCTAAACTACGACCGCTGGTGCAAACAGCTGACGTCGCTATCGATTTAGTTAATGACGTCGACAATGGTGATACACCAATATGGCGGCGGCGGCGGTTATCAAAAACGAAGCCGATAAACAATTCTTATTAGCGTGTATTCTCCTTGAGGACGGTAAGGGCAATGCTCAGTTAGGATAGTTGATAGCCTCAGCGCCATTTTGCGCCATATAGCCTCCATGGACAATGTATTTTGATTTCAGTCTGATTTTTGTTGTATTTCATTAATTTTTGTTGTTGTTCATTAATTTTTGTGGAGTTTTATTGATTATTGATTTTTTGTTCACGGCAGGGACTCGGACCGGAACGATATTGAACCAAAAACCGAAACAGGACCGTTTTTTTTTTGCAGACTAGTACCGGAACGAAACCCATATTTGATATAAATGGTAAGGCAAGCAGAACCGGAACCGATATAAATTAATCTGTTCTTACCAGTATTTTTCGGTTTCAAAATGCCATAGCCGTTTTCTGTTTGGTCGTATCGTAATCAATTTAACACTCTAAGGGCCGGTTTCTCAATAGCGAGAGTTCACCTCCGCCGGGTTGGTTTTAACTCCCGGTTAAACGTGTCCAGTTGCATGTTTACCCTGGAGTTATGCTTGAGATTCCGGGCGGCACTAAAAAACAGAGCGTTAAAAAGCGCGTATTTTTGAATTTGGCCAGGCCAGAAACTCCTAGGCTACAACAAGGATATACGATTGCTCATCCGCCTCGATTTTTGGAATTAACTTCATATGGTGTTGCACCGTTGGCGACGTTATCAACGGTGTTATTAGCGGTTTGTGCCTGCGGTCGTAGCTAAGAATATACATTTATGATGAAAAATATTATAGCTCAAATGAATATGCAAAGTGTACTCAATGTTGATGACGCACGGGAAAAGTTTAGAAATAAAAACTGTAAATAACTGATCGAGAACACCTAAATTTATTAATATTTAAAATAATAAATATTATTTTTAAAGTTGTAGCAGATAGGCAGAGAAATCAAATGAAAAATAAACCACAAATTACAGAAACATACATTTTTCTGTTAGATATCTGTGAAAAACTATACCGGTATGAACCGGTGAAACCGAAATTATTGGTCCGAACCGGATCGAAATATTTCTCTTAGAACCGGAAGCGTAACGGAACCGATGTCATGACCGGCTGTGTCATGACGCTGTGGAACGGAATCGGAACGCAACCGATCATTCATTTCGGTTCGAGGTTCATTGAACAAACCCTTCGAGTACTCCATAGGTACTACGACCGTTCGGTGTGGTTTTTTTTTAGCTAAGCTTAAGGGCCGCTTTATGCACCTATTGATAAACTGGTATGTATGCAATGTGACAGATAAAAACCCAATCTGTAATCCCATTGGTCGGCCAGTTATCTGCCGACTAATAGAATGGAACGGTTAATTTCAAGAATCCTTAACTAAAAGGATTGTTCATTCTAATAAGGCGTACGTTCGCCAATTCTCGAGTCGGCAAGGTCTGCGAGTGAGGTCACCACTATAAGCAGCTGGCTGTCTTGACGTCACCCGCAGACCCCGATGAATTGCTTGCGATTCAGGTTCGGCTGTGCTTGTGAGTTAATTTTTCGTTAATTTTGAAAATAGAAAAGGTTATTTTAAGAAGATTTTAACGTTTAGGGAATCGTTTTTCTGATCTATACTTGTGTTTTAAACTCGAATTATGCATTTTCAAAGTCTTTCAAAACATCACTCTACAGTGTAAAGCGGACTGAAAATTGACCAAAGCTGTTTTCACGCTTTCACTTTTTTGAAATGGTTCAAAACCAACGCCGTTTTCTCGCGTCCACTTTTTTGACAATGGTTCAAAACCGGTTTAACCCTTTTCACGTGGCTCCGGTTTAACAAACCGCAACATACCGCTCAAATTCGAGTGGTAGGTACCCATCACGTCACTTTGTAACCGGGTTAGAAAACGGTATGTCATTTCTCTAACCGTTTTGTAACCCGGTTAGTTAAACCGGAGCCACGTGAAAAGAACTTTTGAAAAGGGCAATGCGGTTTCCATTGACTGTTTCAAACCGGTTTTAAACCAATGTCAAAACAGGTGTGACGTCAGGTGACCATTGGCGTTCTAATGTAGGGTGCCACCAGCTCACAATCCTTTGGAGTATCAGAGAGAGGTGTTTTCTCGCTTCTCAAAGTTTTCAAACATTTTTCAAAACTGGTTTAAAACAATTTCACAATGACGTCATAACTTCTCAGCGCGAGAAAATGGTTTGAAAATTTGGATTGGATTATATTTCAAAACGGTTTGAACCAATTTTGTGTGGCGTCATGGGTTATTTCAAACCTGTATTGAACCAGTTTCAAAAAAATTACGTCACCCATGACCTTTTTATCGCGTGCAGTACAGGCGATGATGATGGTTGCTATGCAACCTGACGTTATGAAAGTAGAATTCTAGTGGAATTCTACTTATCGTAAACCCAACCCAGATTAAAATCGACGAACCTTACTATTTAAAACCATCTTCTCGCGCCGAGAAGTTATGACGTCAACGTGAAACTTTGAGACGCGAGAAAACACCTTAATACTAACAAACCTTTTTGAAGTGTTTGTTGTTTTTCATTTCGTAGGTTAGTTGGACAGAGTTTAGTGAGATCGTTGATTTATGTTTTGGAAATTCGTACACGTGGTAATACTGTGCCTCTGGTACCGGCGTGACGTCACAGCTTTGAAGATGAATAAACCGGGCCAAGGACGACTATTATAAAACTATTTTGACAGAATATCTAAAAGTTAACTTATGGAATGACGTTACTGCTCATATTCCAGAAGTTAGCTTTAAGTTATCTGTCAAAATAGTTTTAAAATACCCGCCCTAAATAGAGTAACGACGTTCCCGTTGGACTAAAGGGCGCGTTCTTTTATTCAGCAATGGATTCATCTGCTGCCAGCATTATGAGACAGACATTCCAATTGTCTATGAGCTAGACAAAGAAAGGCTGATAACCGATGGATACACCGCTGAATAAAATAAAGCGCCCAAACAAACGGAGTCGAGTAAATGGAGCTCACTCCATGACGTCTCGCTCCAAATCTCTGGTTCTGGGTCGTTGTTCGACATACTTTTTCTTCACTCTGGAGCACGGGACAAATAACTGATTCCTGATTCCACTCCAATTCGGTATATAAATGCAAACACAGAGAGAGCAAACCCGGACCACCCCTATTCTAAAATCTAAAGCATGACGTCATCGGAGACCCAAATGTCACACAAATACAAAAGCAAATTTTACCTTTACCTACTCCCAAGATCTACTCAAAACTCAAACGTGTAAACAAAAGAGAAATCCAGAGATCACTAGATTGAGAATTGCGATTATTTCCTCTTGCTTTCTGTGGTAATTATTAAAATTAAAAGCATAGTCTGTACCTAATGTATACTCTTATAACAATAACAGTTACTTTCATTTATCCTTATCAAAATATCAGAGTTCTAAATTAACCATGAGAAATTTTATTTCTGTAGGCTAGTTTGCAACAATAATAAAATAATTTATATTGTTATAAGGATTTTCTACATTTCAAAAGACCCTATGTTATATTTCATTGATATAATTTCCTAGTATAGGTACTTACGATGGGTTACATTTAAAAAAAAAAAATCTATAAATACCTAATTATCCATGTGGAACTATTCGGAAATTATAGCAGTGGTTCCTTACAATAGGTGGACTTTAAAAGGACTATCTACAATCATCATTCCAAGTCCACAGGGAAGGATTTCAGTCAAGTGAGAATGGTAATAGTCCATTAAATATAAATTTATAACTAACCAACATGTCATGCGCTAAGAAGATAAAATTGGATGAAAAAATACTACCCATCTTAGCAGATGATTTGCTCGAAGACACTCCTTTAGTAGAAGTTTTTGTCGATTCCATAAAAGACCAAAAAACAATTTCAAAGGTTGTGAAGGATTTAAATGCGAGTTGCCCAATTCCAGAACTAACACACTTGAAAAGAATTAAGGCTAAAGAAATTTTGTTACTTATTAAAAACAATTTAGAAAAACAACAAGTTCATGAGTATTTAAAATCTAATGGTTTCAATGTTAGTTTATTGTGTAATCAAATTAGGATAGTGTCTGTTGCAAAAATTGCTCCTAAAACAAAAACGCAACACGCAAAGGTCAACCAGTTATGGCCATGTAACTTCCACAGTGACAAATACATAGAAAAGTTATCAACAAATACATTGTTTGATCATTCTGAAATTTTGGAGCATCAATTGTACATGAAAGTGGCTATCGAAGTAGCTAGATATAGTAAACAAAATAAAATTGCACATTTCTCTAAAGGTGTAGTTATAGTAGATCCAAAAATAAAATCCATAGTAGCTCTTGGCTACTCAGTAACCCACGAGAACCCTTGCAAACACGCTCCTATGATCGCAATAGATAATGTTGCTAAAACCCAAAACGGTGGCGCTTGGAACAACTACGAACAACTAACTACAACCAAATTGAATTTATGCGGCATTCATCCAAAACTATATACACTTTTACAAGAAAAATTTCCACAAATAACTTTTGGAGCTTCTCGGTTCAAAGGCAAATCTATTAAAGAGCCAAGTGATGGACCATATTTGTGCACTGGTTATTGTGTATACTCGACTCACGAACCGTGCATTATGTGTGCAATGGCGTTGGTTCACAGCAGAGTGAAACGTGTTTTTTATGGAGTGAAAACAAATAATGGTGGATTAGGTACTTTGTGTAAAGTGCACACAGTGAAAGATTTGAATCATCACTATGAAGTGTTCACGAAATTGTGCCAAGATGAGTGTGAATCATTGAAGGATGTATAATAATCATAGGGCCGGTTTCTCAATAGCGAGTCACCTCTGGATTAGTTTTAACTCCAGGGTAAGCGTGCCCAGTTGCTATGTTTACCTTGAGGTGACCTGCTATTGAGAAACCGGCCCATAATCAAAGGCAATTGTTTTGATTTTTCATAATGTGTTCTGGTATGCAGTCAATTTTGTTTGCAATAACCCCATACATCTCTTATGGGTTTTTGGTTTTCTGCCAAACTCAATGAAATTTGGATATGTGGTATACCTTCCTGAAAAAAAGTTCTCATAGTCTATGGCCCAACCCGATACTATGAATAGTTTTCGAGATACAGGTAGTTTAATGTCCAACAAATGTGAAAAAAATACACATTTTATATGCATTTACCTTATGTACTGTCACCTGAGCGTGACGATACCTACCTGTCCATCCTGGTATATTATTAGATGACAGGTAGAGGTAGATGCATATTATCCCTTCACAATCCGATGTCCACACGTACAGGTACAATTTATCACTTTTCAATACTATTTGATAGGGAAAGGTGATAAATTTACCTGCACCTGTGAACATCGGATTGTGAACAGGATATTATATAAAATGTGTATACGGTGGCCCGTTCATTTTGCCCTATTTCGGTATATGGAAATCTGGATATTTTATGACAATAAGTTAAATACAAAAGTTGTAGGGTTTAAAGCCGGAGTCTCATGCACACACGGAAGCACACAAAAAAATAAAATTGATGTGTTCGAGAGGAAAGTCAGGAAAGTGTTAATTTGAGAATAACAGGCTAGAAGATTGTTTCCTCTTCAGCCCATGGCAACTTTGACAGTCAATATCTTGAAAACTAATCATTCGATTTTCAAAAAGAGTACACAGTTGTGACAAGAATCAAAATACCTTTAAAACAAGATGCCACTCGATCCATCTTCCCTTTCTAAAACAGAGGGGTACCCAGGTGGTGCACCCTAGCGAAATACTGATGGGGTCAAAAAGTTTCCCCTTTGAATATAAAATTGGCGTGTCCAAGCGTTTTTGTCAAATCGACCTTAAAATACCCCAAAACGCCTCTGTTTTTATGTTCGTGAAACACCCTGTATAGTTTGATAAGGTTATTATGCACGGTTTCGGATTTTGTCAAAAATAGGTTCATTCTGATTCTGTTGTGGTGTAGCAAACTTTGAAAATTGTCGATTTCTCAGTCGTTTTTTTCATTTTTTTAAAATGGCACACCCTGTATATTAGATGTGGAATGGAAAGTACTTTAAAACAAAGTTTTTTCGTACAAGACATTACACAGGGTGTTTGAAATTAGGTCGGCACCATTGCTAACTCACTTATTATAAGAGTTACAAAATCGGTTAAATTGGCAACTACATAGTAGCATTTCACCCGCTAAATAAAATGGTTAAAACCGAAAAACAATTGAGCATCGCTCGAGATATTTTCGAATATTTACTTTTCTTGATGGAGCACCCTGTATATTTTTCGCTAGTTTTCATTGCAAATGTTTTTCTCACCAAAAAGATTCCTTGCACTACCTATTGCCGTAAAATCCGAAAATGACTGAGTTATTCCAAATTTTACGTTTTTTCAAGTTGGCCATGTATTGTTATCTTAAAGAGTACTTTTCATCCGAGTTTTCATCCTACTTTTATGATACAGGATGTGCAATTTTAAAAAGTGAAGAACAACGACAACTTTCAAAGTTTAGCAACACCACAACACAAACTGAATGAACTTATTTTTGACAACTTTAAAATATTTATTTTTAACGTTTCTACAATAATCTAAAAAGTGGCCTTTCCCCGAAGATAACCGTAAATAAATCCCGAGATAAATCCGAAACCATGCATAACAACCCTATCAAACTACATAAAATCTGTTTTTTTTTTTAAAGATAAAAGTCAAAATGACATTCTGTTGGCAATATAATGTAAAATTGTCAATGCTTTCAAATTTTTAATGTAGAAAAGGCTTGTGTTGCCAACATAGTTACTAAATTTTTGACTTGGGGAATTATCTTTAAAAAAAAAACATACTTTACATTTATATTTGTCTTTGAAGGCACTATCAAAAAATATGAAAATATACAGGAACAGGATGTTCTATTAAAAAAAAAATCTGATGTGTCATACTTTTTTGACACCCGCTTACTTTGGTATTTAACTTTTTGTCATAGAATATCTAGATTTCCATATACCGAGATAGAACAAATTAAACGGGCCACCCTGTACATTTCTTGAAAATTAAACTACCTTTATTTCGAAAACTATTCATAGTATCGGGCCTATGAGAACTTTCTATCAGTCCACATATCAAAATTCAATTGAGTTTGGCAGAAAACCAAAAACCCATAAGAGGTCTGCGGAGTCCCTTGATAATTTTTTTATTATACAGGGTGTCACAAAATTAGCTGCGCTGGTTTCAACTTTTATTTTGAATGTGCCCGGTATTCAAAATTCCTGCAACAAGATCCCAACATTGTTTTCAGGGGAAGAAAATTACTTTTCACTTTTTTTTATGGGGATATCCTAAAAGTAAAGTTTTGTCATTCTCACTCAACCCATTGATATTGAAGATTAAAAAGCCCGCATTATCAAGAAAACACGCTCTAATTAACCTTGAAACTGTGAGAAACGTGCCAAAAGAATTTATTAGACTGTCAAAACAACACATAAAATGCTGAAAATTAAACAAAAAACCTGAAAATGTTTGAAAAACTGGTGTTTTCTATTTGAAAAATCAAAGTTGAGCGTAGCTGTTTTCGGGATACCCTGTAGAATTTAAAAAAAAATCAAAAAATTTCAAGCAAAAACACAAAATTGAAGTAGTATGTGCCTAAGCGATTTCTCAAAAATCCTACCGTTTTCAAAACAATATAGGTATTTATGCGAACTCACTGTATATTTGTTATCAAATTTTTCATGTTTCTAAATTATAAAAAAACTTAAAACATGTGAAGACTTCAATCCAGAAAATTAATAAATGCTTAAGAAATAAATTGTAGACACAACTACCAAATTATTCTGTTAATAAACCAATAATGTTTTAGTAGTTCTGTTTTTTTTTTTTGGATTATCTAGTTGCAAATGTAGTCTGTAGAAGCTGTGACAATGGATACAAAAAAGTTGCGGTCGTAGATAGAATGTTATAGGTGGTACATGCTCCAACGCATACAAAACTGTTGAGTATTGTAACATGAAGAATGAAAGTTGGGTTCTTCTGAGCATGTCTATCTGAAATTCATGGATTTTATTGTTCAGTGAGTTGGAATTTGTATAATAAAATATAACTTCAGACATTATTGGGAGTTTTTTGGCCGCCTTCAGCATGTGCCATAGCCTCTCTGGATTTGACGATCTTTCGGGTCCCATTATGATATTTGATTTTGATATTTATCTCACCCTTTGCTGTGCAAAGGGTGAGATAAATCACCTACTTCCGTGTAGAAAATCACTTTGACTGGCCTAACTTTTCCTGGTGTGAATTGGCCTAGCCAAAGTGTTTTAATATCCGCGAGAAGTGTATTAGGATTCACATGGTCTGAGGGGTTTACCGACTTCATAAGATCCAAGATCTCCCACTGCCTTCATTTCCTTCTCCATCCTGCCTTCTTTTGTATCTGCCTCACTTTCATTTAGTCCAAATATGAGCACTTTTACCTTCCTACGCTCTCTTTCCTTTATCTCATAGACGGCAGGTTCTACTTCGGGTTGGGATGGATACAGTATCTGAGAGAACTACAGTTGTTTTAACCTCCTTTTCAGAGACCGAGACATGGTTTCACAAAAGAATCCCGGACTCACTCATATGACTACCTGGATATTATATGTTCAGGGATGAATGTGGGATCAACGAGGAGGAGGAGTCTGATTCTGGGTGAAAAATTTGCGCGAACATAAACCACACATACAGGGCGCTTACAGACATTACCGCTGTTGGGCAAAATATTAAAATAGCAGACATAAAGTTTACTCTGGCCTGTATATACAGGCCTCATCATATCACATTGGAACAGAACAGGAGGCTTCTGGACACTCTCAAAGAAACATTTGAGGAAAACACAGACGCTGTTATCTGGAAAGACTAACTTTCCTGAGATTGTCTGGAAAAGTCTCACACTGAGAGAATACAGTGTTAACGCTGTGGTTGAACGTAACTTCTGGAAGGCAGACTATGACAACATTATGTCTATAATAATAACAGGCCAGCAGGCACAAATACTGACAATATGGAATTCAGTGAATTTCATGGCATAGTGAAGGAAACCATTGAAATCTATATCCCACTCAAACCCAAGCTTGCGAATCATAGAAAACCATGCTTAAATAATGCAATATTTAGAGCAATCGAGAGAAAGCGAACACTTTGGGACAAATACGCCAAAAACAAAACAGCAGATAATTACAATTTGTACAGAACTCAGAGAACCAATCACGGGAATGATTATCTCTGGACTCTGATCCTCAGAAGACAGCTAACACATTCGCGGATCACTTTGTGAAGGTATACACCAAAGAAAACCTTGCGAATTTTCCATCACTATTGAAGAATACTAGATCTATTGAATCATTAACAACCATAGATGTCATGCCACTGAGGAAAAGGTTATTCAAGCAATCTCTACTCTGAAACAAGATTCTAGTCCAGGCCCGGATAAAATACTGGCGCATTATTTTTAATAAATTGCCAAAGGATGTTGGTGCCAGAGACAGCTGGCCTCTTGCAGTCACTAATCTCTCAGCAAACTGTGCCACAGTGATGGTGTCGAGCATACATAATGCCAATCTGCCAAAAAGGACACAAGCTCAATCTTAGAAATTACAGACCAATTAGCCTTACCTGTAACCTATGCAAGCAGATCATGGAAAAAATAATAGTTCAGGAAATGACATCTTTTCTTGTTGAAAACAAGACCCTTGAACCCAGCCAACACGGATGTATCCCCCAACGATCTACCAAAACCAACCTACTCACCTGCATAAACTCATGAACGAAAGAAGTGGAGAGTGGCCATCTGGTGGATGTACTACCTAGTACAAGGCATTTGACAAAGTGGCATTCCAGAGGTTATTATTCAAACTGCAACACTTTGAAAAAAGGGGCGAGCTCTTCGGATAGATAGGATGTTTTCTACAAAACCGAACCTTTCAATTGAGAGCAAATGGGCATTACTCTGCTGGATACAAGGTCCTTAGTAGGGTGCCACAGGAATCGGTGTTGGGGCCACTGCTATTTACCGTATACATCAGCAATATTCATTCTCTTATAAAGACAAACATCATTTTTTGAGCTGATGACACAAAAGTATACTGCAATCTGTGCTTAGCAGCGAATGGCAGCTAACACTCAACCCGACAAGTGCCCTGTACTGCACATTAGCCCTAACAATCCAAATATACCTTACAGCTTGAACGGCACTACTGTGAAGGCTGTGACTGAGCAGAAAGATCTGGGTGTATCTCGAATCACCTAAAATGGGAAGCCCATATCTCTTCCAGTTGTCAAGGGGACAAACTTACCTTATATAGAAAGGCTTTAGTGATAGATCCATCCCCATGATTAGCAAAATATTAGACTATCCAAGATGCTGTCAAATTGAAAATCAGGGCGACAATTCTTTACTTTTCAATAACAGTTTTTTGTGCTAAAATTATTAGAGCTATTTATGTGTAACGCCAATATTATGCCTTTGGCTTTCAGATGTTAACTTAACGGTAAGAATTTGGATGCATACATTCAAGTTGCAGCGGACCTTGGACTGTTTGGACCCCAAAATAACAGTTTAAATTAGAAAAAAAAAAAAAACAATTATTACATATTATGAGAAAACTTTATTTTAATTTTTTTTAATGGTTACTGGAAATGCTTTTGGGAGTTTCTGTACGCGTTCAGGTGATTTAGAATTATCATTCATTTACCGCACTCAAAAGCACTCCTAACAATAGGCACAAACCCATAGTAGCAACAAAGAAAGGTACGTATAAAAATTCTAGGTCCTTAATTGTGTTTTGATAAAAACTGATTCAGGTATAACTATATAGAAAGATTTACTTCACCAAAGTCCAAATACATATGTTTTTACTTTGACTAAACCTTTCTGTAAACATAGGTCATTGTAGTTTCAGTACAAAAAAAAAATTATTGATATTTCCCTGAGTTTAACGTCTTATAACTGAAAAAACATTGTACTCGTACAGCATAATTTTGCTACTATAAGGTTCTAAACATTGAATGCTAAACAAGGAAGCGCTCAAAAACTCACTCAGAATATAATAAGTTCAAATACACTGAAGTGAAATATGTTAAATATCAAAAATACATAGGATTATGTATAATAATCATTACATAGAACTATCATCTAAACAGAACAACTACGTACTATAAAAATAAACTGTCAAATTCGTAAAAAACATACAAAACTATTACCCACTCGGTAGCGTTTATGAACTATTTAGAAAAACATAAATATATTCTACCTGATCAATAATAATTGATTCAAACAAAAATGGAAACTCTAATACATACATTTTTGAATATTTTTGTGAAAATAGGCGCAGTATAGTGAACAATTACACGAAAATTAGGCCATATTGTCACAACTATACACAAAAATTAAAAAAAAATAATAATAAGCAAAAAATAAGTACACAAAGGCATACAAAATCGTAGTCATAATATTTCACCAATTTTATGACAAATTAGCTTTCGTAATTATTATGCCTTTTTGGCATAAATAACTTTCGATTCTTGTACAAACTCCATCATGTTCCTGGACATGTAGTAGGGCTTGGCCATACCGTCGTTGAGCATATTGTCTTCGCAGTAACACATGAAAAGCGTGTCAATGGTTGTCTTGAAAAGTAAATAAAAACTATATAGAGGAATTTGAAACAAAAAATGGTTATAAAATACCTCAAAGACACCAAAAGATATACTGGCAGACAAAATGGAAACTAACCCAATCACGATATAAGCTATGAAGTTCAGACTGCCGTGCTCAGCTTGCATTTGTATACCCTGAAAAAAAAAACAATACAGTATTTTTTAAAGTGATTTTAATCCTATTTTTGGCTTCTTCAAGCCAGTTTGGCACTAAATAGAGATCAGGCGCAAACTTTTTAGGTCAAAAGTGTAAACGCTAAATGAAATTAAATTAGGTGAATCATTATTACTCACAGGAGCAATAGTCAAAATAGCCCAGGATATCAACAGAGTGAAAGCTACAATCAATAACTTGGCCATTCCAAGTACAAAATCGCCAATGAAATTAACAGCGATGATGTCATCGATGTTCTGGAAAATCAATTTGGCGGCACGTTTTCCGGACCTCAAAAAGGCTTGACCATGCATAGCTAAAAAAAAATATCAATCAAGAATCGTATACCGAGATTACCACAATATCACTTACCGGTTATGATGTATGCATTCTTGGACAAAAACTTAAAGAACTTTTCAATAGACTCAATACAACTCTGAACAAAGACTTTAATTTTTTCATTTTTAATCAAACCCAGAATGATGGATTTAATAAGTTGCACTAAAGTTATCAGCATTGCCCCAAAAGCCACTGTACCCAAATGAAATTTAAAGGCAATTGATATTGCAGTTCCGATTGGGTTGCCCAAATATCCTTTGTCTCTGAAAAATAAATTAAATGGCTTTCAAGTACAAATCTTCATAGGCGCAACTAGGGGGGTTCTTGGGGGTGCTAAACACCCCTAAAGCAAAAATTAGCACTCCCATTCGGCATCCCACCATAGTACTACCTAACACTAATATAAAAAAATTGTACAACCAAATTATTTTTTTTTTTTGCACTTTTTGTACTTACCTACGTCATCGATGACGTCATAATTTAGAAAAAGTATTTGTCGTTGATTAATTCATAGAGCATGTTTGCAATTATTATTGTTATTATATTATCTTAAAATCAAGACTTTACCCTAAAATATACGGTTTTTATGTTATATTTAGGATGACATCATCGAACAAGGTCAGACAATGTTGTCAATGTCTATGGTTATTCTATATCTTAAGGCGACATTGAAATACCAGCCCTTAAAAAATCATTGGAGTCCCAAATATACAGTGAGTTCTTAAAGTCCGGCATAAATTCATTATTTTGAAAACGGTAGAATTTTTGAAAAATCACTCAGACATGTCAGTTTTGTTTTTTTGTTTGAAATTTTTCGATATATTTTTTATCATACAGGGTGTCTCAAAAATAGCTTTGCTGGTATCGCAACTTTATTTTTTTGAATGGTACCCCCTGTATATTATGACGTTTTTGGATTCTACGGAAAATTCTAGACATATTTCATGTATAATGTCACATTGTTGAAGCTGGATTCAACTGTTTCAGAAAAATTGACTTTTTTGCAACTTTGACAGGCTGTAAAACCTAAACGGTTAATTTTACAGAAAACCGATTTCATATTCTTGTCTGTAGCTTTTCATAAGTTATCATTGGAAATCAACCTTGAATTTAACTTGAGATTAAATTTAACCGGAATTTTTAATCATGGATTAACTTCAAAGATGATGTCAAATGATAGTTTATAGAAAACTAAGATAAGAATGAATGATCGGTTTTCCTGTAAAATCAACCGTTCAGGTTTTACAGTTTGTCAAAGATGCAAAAAAGTCAATTTTCAACTGTCAATATTTCTGAAACAGTTGAAGATAGGAATATGACATTGTACATGAAATATGTCTAGAATGTTCCGCAGAATCCAAAAATGTAATATTATACAGGGGGTACCATTAAAAAAAATAAAGTTGATACCAGCGAAGCTATTTTTGAGAATGATAAAAAATATATCGAAAAATTTCAAACAAAAAAACAAAATTGATGTGTCTGAGCGATTTTTCAAAAATTTTACAGTTTTCAGAATAATGAATTTATACGGGACTGAACTCACTGTATAAATTAATCAACTGCGTATTATACAGGGTGTTCCCAAATATCATGTAGAAACGACAAAGGGTGATTCTTTGTTTTTTTTTTATGACTGAAATCTCAAATATGTTCTCAAAATTGACTTATTTAAGCAAAATTTAAAAAAATTTACCCTCTTACATTTTAATTTTTTTCTGGAAATCTTGCATAGGGAAAATTTAATTTTCCAGGAATAAGAGGAAAATGAGGAGCTCATTTTACGAAAATTTCAAAATTTTCCAAAAAAAAAATCATTCCAGGAAAAATTTTGAAAAACTAACTTTTTTAAGCAAAATTAAGGAGAATTCACCTTACATACTGGCAAAACGAAAATTGTGGAAATTTTTCCAGAAGAAAGAGAAAAGTAAGGAGATCATTATACGAAAATTTCAAAATTTTCTAGTGGAAAATCACTCCAGGAAAAATTCTGGGAAATTGACTTTTTTAGGCAAAATTCACCCTCTTACATTTTAATTTTTTTCTGGAAAACTGGCAAAAGGAAAATTGTGAACATTTTCCAGAATAAAGAGCTCATTATAGCAAAATTTTAAAATTTTTGAATAAAAAATCACTCCATAAAAAATTCTGGAAAATTGACTTATAAGCAAAATTAAGGAAAATTCACCCTCTTACATTTTAATTTTTTTCTGGAAAACTGGCAGAGGAAAAATTTTGAAAGTTTTCCAAGAAAAAGGGTAAAGTGAGGAGCTCATTATAGGGCAATTTCGAAATTTTCCAGCGAGAAATCTCTCCAGGGAAAATTCTGGAAAATTGACTTTTTCAAGTAAAATTAAGGAAAATTCATCCTCTCATATTTCAATATTTTTTCTGGAAAACTGGCAAAAGAGGAAAAAAAGTCAGGAACTCATTATAAGAAAATTTCAAAATTTGCCAATGGAAAATCGCTCCAGGAAAAATTCTGAAAAAATAACTTTTTCGAGTAAAATTAAGAAAAATTCATCATCACACATTTCAATTTATTTCTGGAAAACTAATAAAACTTGTAAAATTTTTCCAGGAGAAAGAAGAAAATGAGGAGCTCATTAAAGAAAAATTTCAAAAATTTCTAGTGAAAAATCACTCCAAGGAAAGTCGAGAGGAAAGTTCTGGAAAATTGACTTTTTTAAGCAAAATTCATCCTTTCACATTTCAATTTTTTTCTGGATAACTGGCAAAGCAAAAATTGTGGAATTTTTCCAGAAGAAAGAGGAAAGTGAGAAACTCAATATAAGATAATTTCAAAATTTTCTAGTGAAAAATGACTCCAGAAAAAATTCTGGAAAATTGAGTTATTTGAAGCAAAATTAAGGAAAATTCACCCTTTCACATTTAAATTTTTTTTTGGAAAACTGGCAAAGGGAAAATTTTGAAAATTTGCCAGAAAAAAGAGAAAAGTGAAATTTCGAAATTTTCCAGTGAGAAATCACTCCAGGGAAAATTCTGGAAAATTGATTTTTTTAAGCAAAATTCATCCTTTCACTTTTCAATTTTTTTCTGGAAAACTGGCAAAGGAAAAATTTTGAAAATTTTCCAGGAATAAGAGGAAAATGAGGAGCTCATTTTACGAAAATTTCAAAATTTTCCAGTGAAAAATCACTCCAGGGAAAATTTTGAAAAACTAACTTTTTTAAACAAAATTAAGGAGAATTACATTTTAATTTTTTTCTAGAAATCTGGCAAAGGAAAAATTGTGAAATTTTTCCAGAAGAAAAAGAAAAGTGAGGAGCTCATTATAGGAAAATTTCACAATTTTCCAGTGGAAAATCACTCCAGGAAAAATTCTGGGAAATTGACTTTCTTAGGCAAAATTCACCCTTACATTTTAATTTTTTTCTGGGAAACTGGAAAAAGGAAAATTGTGAAAATTTTCCAAAAAAAAAGATGAAAGTAAAGAGCTTATTATAGCAAAATTTTAAAATTTACCAATGAAAAATCACTTCATAAAAAATTCTGGAAAATTGACTTATTTAAGCAAAATTAAGGAAAATTCACCCTCTTACATTTTAATTTTTTTCTGGAACAATGGTAGAGGGAAAACTTTGAAAATTTTCCAGGAAAGAGAGAAAAGTGAGGAGCTCATTATAGAGAAATTTCGAAATTTTCTAGTGAGAAATCACTCCAGGAAAAATTCAAAGAAAATTGACTTATTTAGGCAAAATTAAGGAAAATTCACCCTCTAACATTTTAATTTTTTTCTGGAAAACTGGCAACGGGAAAATTTTGAAATTTTTACAGGAGAAAGAGAAAAGTGAGGAGCTCATTAGAGGAAAATTTCAAAATTTTTCAGTGAAAAATCACTCCAGGATAAATTTATTTATATATTTTCGGATAACTGAATAAACTCTATTCTAAGTTAAAAAATGTATTACAAAACAATAATTCCGAAGGTGCTCTATGAATTAATCTATGACTTAACTTTTTCACTAAGTTATGACGTTATCGATGACGTAAGTAAAAACCTTCGTGCCGTGCAACGAACTATATGTTTGTTTAAAATATCAGACATAAAAAACCTATTTTTCAAAAAAAAGGCAAATGATGACATAATTACAAACCCTCATGAAAGTAACTTTTTTTACGCGTCTCATTTCCTGTCCATCAAACCGCATTAGAAAAAAAAAAAAATGGTGCTGCAGCGCCCCTCAAATTTGGAGCCTAGTTGCGCTTATGCAAATCTTCTTACCTGGCAAAGTACCATTTTGATACTGCTCCAGCAATAACCATATACTGGATACCAGTGAAGAACTGGACGAGCCAAAGGTAGACGACGAGATTGTAGACTATAGAAAATTTCATGACTGTATTTAATTGGTAAGTGTAAGTGTCACTTCTTTCGTTTAAAGGCGTTAGAGTGCCAGCGTTTAGCATGAAGAATGTAATGATAAGGTAGATAGCAGTCAGGATCATGATGCTGAATGTACACTGAAAAAAAAAGGAATATAGAAACTTGAATTTCCTAGAAAAAAAATACTTACAACAACTGGTATGGCAATAAGTCCAGGCATATCAAAGACAGCTTTAGTAGCTTCTTTAAGGAGCAAAATTACTAGATGGACTTTTTTGCGGCACCAAATCAAGACAATTGCCAGACCTATTACCAGAATAGTTAAGGCAATAGCAAACCCTAACACCTGATAACGTGGATCATTGTCTCTCCCAGTGTCTGACATATTCCCATAAAGAACCCTGAAATGATAATAATTGCAATTATTGTATTATTTTTTTTTAATCAAAGTTAAGTAATATATTTCAACTCACCAAATTCCAATAACTAGGACGGTGAAAGCTAATAGGCTGCCAATGAGGATACCCCAGACTACAAATCGGACAGCGTAACGGAAAAGAAATACCATGCCCATTGAGATTACTGGAAAAAAAATGAATACTAATGTAAGTATATCATACTGGTTAATTTGTAAAAAAGACTTACGAATTGAAATTAAACAGCAAACAATAACTTGCCATTTCACGCTGTGCATGTAAGTACCAAAACCGATGTCATCTACAAAATAGTCTGAAATGTCCCTGTCTTTGACACATACATCCTCAAAAACGTGGCTGGAATATAGTATTTTATATTAGTTAGGTATATGAAACAGTTCAACAATAATTTCCAGTAACCTTATTTTTCGATGATTTACGAGAAAAGATCATTGGGGAAAAAATATATCACGGCTGTAAGCGTGAAAAACCTATTTTGACGTAGTATTGCAACGATGTTTCCACCTGTATTTCAGCTAGGAAAGATATTGGAGAGCTGTTTTTCTGATACCAATCCCATTCCGAAACTTTTCACAAGACAAACGTCAAGTTGAGGGTATCAAAAGCTTTGGGATCTGGATAGACCTAATATTAGTCCAACTTCTATATGATTTTTTTCTAATTCTTTGTTTCTTCTGATATTATGAATCCTGCTGTTTCTGTTGATCAATTTGCACTGAATACATGTCCATTTCAGCTCATTTTCACATATAATTGATAATTTTCGTATTTTTGAAAAAAGAGTACTCGAATGTTTTTTTTTTCAATAAAGTTACTCATTACCGCAACCAATAATTATTGTTTCTATCTCTGACAAATATCATTAGAAAAATAATGTAGAAAACTACTCCTACAAATTATGAGCCTAATCGCAGTTAGTCATAGTCTTTAAAAGTGTAGAAATATTTTTACTTGAAATAAATCAAGATTACTACTTAGTTACTTACTGTCCACTGTCACAGCTGGCCACGCATCGGCGTTCTCTAAAGTCGACATCTAATTGCACAAGCTGATTTCTAGAGTAGCCTTCATATTGCATATAGCTAAAATAGAAATATCATGATTTTCCTGAAACTTTGCACATCGACTCCGACTCACGGTAAATTTGTGAAATTCTTTCCGGAACACTCGATTCCACTCCATTCCGCGTTCTTTTTGCCACAAACGTTGCCGCATTTATCGTAACCAACTTGGATTCGTTTCAAGTCGACATAGTACATAGTGTAAATCAAGAACGGAAGCTGGAAGTTACAAGAAAAAAAATTATTGAGAATCCATAGTGTGCATAAATACTTACAAAAACTGCAATGAAAATACCCAAGATTACCAGCCATTTAACATTTGTTGGTCTTCGGTTTTTGGGACTTTCTGGTATCTCGATGCTTTCCAGGGACACATTGGTTGGTAGTTTTTTGAATGTTATCAACTAAAAGAAAATAAAACATGGGAGATTATTACATTTTCGATAATAGTTATTACTTATTATGAAGCCTTCACTTACTTCTTGGGGTTCCAAGCGACTACCGGACAGCCCCATTTTTGAACTACCTTTTTAGGAAGGTACCTAGAAAAAAGTTATAATTAGTTTACACATATTTTATCAACAACAAAAAATTACTCTGCTTTAGCAAATAATATGAATTATGAAAAAAATTATGAGTATAATTTTCTATAAAATATTCGTGAGTGTGAAAGAATTAGATACATATTATGGAGTCGAGCAACGTGGTAGGTATTCAATAAGAAAATTTTATAATGAAATATCAAACTTTCAAAAACGTGACAGAAATTTAAAATAGCAGCATTGCATCAGCCAATGAATCAGCAATGCCTATAATATGTCATGTCAAAAAAAGTTGGAAACGTCTTAAAATAAGAGGTTCCTCAATAAACTGCCATCAATAAATTGAAATATAATCACCGGAAAAGATATTCGCAAGAAACACACCAATTTATCAATGCATTTTGCCTGCTTGCATGTTATAATAATAATTCTGAAATTATGGTTTCTATATTTGTTTTATGATTAGTTCGAATGATATGCGCCAATGCTGCTACACTATTGAATAAAATTCAATGTGTGTGACTCAATAAGCAAGATAAAGACAACAAACATTCTATTCTAGGAATGAAAATCAAAATTTAAATAACCATTTATTTATTCCAATGGGAAAAAGGATATTCACCTTAAAGAAAATTTATAGTTTATGTAAGGTACTATCGGGTAATAAGGCCAGGTTAACATTATTCATGAACTATTTGTTCTAATGGCATTTTAAACAATATGGCCTTATAACCTGTCCGGCCTTATCACCCGACATTACCTATTTTGGAGGATTTTGGTTAATCAAATTGCTTCATATCTAATTCCAATGAATGCCGAAATTCCCGCAATATAGGCCAAAAATGCTACTACATAGTTGCTGGTGGTTGCTGAGTCTGCTGAACCTGATAGCGTTGCTCTGCCCTCGATTCTCCTTGTCCCTCTTGCTAATACAGCAAAAGTAAGACGGTTCCAACGAAATATCATATATCAAAAGAACTACCGATAACTTAGTTTTCAATTTCGCATACTGGGCTTTTTTTCATCAAATATTATATGCCCAATTTTTACAATTTTCAAAAATGAAAATTTGTTGTTAGGAGGGTTATCTCCTCTAATTATAACTGTGAATTTTAACACAATAATTGTCAACTTTAATATGTAATGGACTAATATTTTTCTTGGGAAAAGCCTAAAAAGCCGAAACAATTATTGTAGAAATCCTACAGAAAAACATATAAAAGCAATTTGTATTTCCGAACTATTCTTATGTATTTGGCTACTAGTTTCAGGGTCAATCGGTTACACCCCATCATCAGGCCGCCTAAGGCTACAATAAAAAACATACCAACTTGAAATTAACAATGTTGTTCATTGACATAACAACAATAATTTTTGAAAAAATATAATTTAAAAAAAGAAACACTCCACAAAACATTTTAAAATTATTTCATACAAATATACTTACATACAAAGGTTTCAGGACAAATACAAGGAAAACACGATACATTTAAATTAATACTTAAGTTGTTAGCAATTATGGAATACAATTGTAGTAAATGTAACTTGCTGTGTCTACACAAGCGTAGACCACGTGAAAATAAACACTTTGGTATGTGTTGTGACCTGTGCAAGAGGCCATTCTGCCAAACCTGTGAAAATATTAGTGTCACTGAATCGGACGCCTTGGTGCTGAATCTGAGGACAGTCCTTTTTTACTGCTCGCAATGCATAAATATCCAATAGAATATTAAAAGCGAATTTGAATGTCTACACAAAGCATTCGTAAAATCCAAAGAAGACTTAGATTCAAACAACAAATACAGCGAAGAACTTCTTAATAAAAATGAAGAACTTCAATTGGAGATGGACAAATTACAAAATACTTTGATAGAGAAAAACCGTTTTATCGCTCGCCTTCAGAAGGGTTCGAAGTGTTTTGAGGATATGGCACTGGACCAAGAAAGGCAGTTTGAAGTAAAATTGGAATACCAGTTAAAAATTATCTCAAGTTTGAACGTGGAAATAAAAACACAAGACAATCAAGTTAAACAAGATCGGATAGAAGAACATCTACAACTTATCGAGCAGACAAAAAAACAGCTACTCATCGTTGAAGAACTGCATAGGAAAGGTAAATTGTGGGCAAATACATTAGAAGCTGAATGTCAAGCGATGGGAAAAGAATTGAGGGCAGAAAGAATTGAAGGTCAAAACTTGAAAATGACTCTACAAGAACAAAAATCTATCATAGTGTTAACTAGCTGCTTAGGAAAGGAGGACCCGGTATTCAACCTTATTAATTTAATTGCCGATTCGGTCGGATGTTTATTGCAATTCAGCAATAAATTGATATAAATTGCGCTGCAAACCGTAGCAAAGGCAGACTTAAACCAGTGCAAGTACCTCTCGTTGGAAAAGCCCCTCTGGAATTAAGTCTCCCCAGTGCAAGTACCTCTCGTTGGGAACGCCCCTCTGGGTATCTTCAGCCTTATCGTTGTCCAGTGCGATTACCTCTCGTTGGGAACGCCCCTCTGGACAAGGCATAAGGGTGACGATAAACTAACCTACAGTCCCCCAAGCAGCATTGACGTGTGGCCCCCTATAAGGACCCCAGTCTACGAAGGGTCATGTATCTTATAGGGTTAGCGTACATGTAAGGTTATATTTGGAAAAATATATCTATATTTTTATATAACCTGAGCGAGTTTCTCTCCATCAACCCCCAAAGCTACAAACCCCCCATGTCACCCCCGTAAAGCGGGCAGTTGTGACAATAGAAGAGCTTGAAAATAAGCAAAGGCAGCTCAGTAAGGAGATCCAAAATTTAGACCATTCCTCAAAAAATAATTTACAGGAAGAAATAAAAGATTTGCAAGCTTCAGGTTTTGTTGCACCCATAGACATGAGCTTGGAGCAGCACCGTGAGTCAAACGCAGAATATCCCAAGATGATGTCAACAAGTAAACCGAGAATTTTAATATTGAGCGATCAAAATGGACGACATTTATTTAATTATCTTACTCGTCAACAATCTTTACATAAGTTTAAGGTAGAAACGATAATAAAGCCAGGGGCCGTTCTCCATAATATTATAGAAGATTTGGAAAATATGACAAAGAATTTAAATAGTAATGACTATGTAATAATAACTGGTGGTCATAATCATAATGATCTCCTAAATGACAAATTTCCTCAAACAAAGTCCATTTGGAATAAACTTAAGCCATGTCTTCACACTAATTTTATATTTTTGTCTTGTCCAGTATCGTCAAAATATAAAAACATAAATAAGATTACAGCATTCAATAACAGGTTTCATTATTTTATAAGTAAGGTTGATAGGATTTCTGAGATATCTTTGGAGCACATAGATATCAACAACAAGAAGGGACTGTGTATTAGAAACTGGCAAATTGGTAAGCTTGTGGGGGAGTCAATAATAAATTTATCGGCAAACCCACACCGCTACAACAACTTAAAGCCACTAATATTTGTGAAAACCTGTGACCAACCTCAACCTCTACTTTCACCATCGATACATAGTAACTTAGAATCTCAGGGGTCAATTCTGAATTGTGAGAGTAACAACGACTGTGCTAGTGTTAGCGATAGAGAAAGTAAACGTATTAGAGCCAAGAACATGTTTCAATAACTCCGGAAATGAAATGCATTTTAATCAGCAAGAACAGATAGATTTTTTAGCTCAAGTAACGCCCCCAAAAACTCTAACATAGCTCAAGATTGCAATCGAGAAAAACAGGTGTCTGTATTTCTATTGAATATTCAATCCCTACGAAACAAAGTTGATGATCTGTACCTATTTCTTGAAAATGAAAACTTGCCGGACATATTGCTGCTGACTGAACATTGGTTGGCAACAAATGAAACATTTTCTATCAATGGTTATACACTGGTGTCTAAATAATGTAGAATTACAAAGAGTGGTGGAGGTACTGCTATTCTTATAAGGGATGAATTTTTGGAAACTTTCGAAGTTATTGCTGTTTCACACTGTGACATCCTTATAGTAGAAGGTTTTTTTGAGTTTTCATTGTTGTACAATGAAAGAAGCAACTTGTATATTTTGTGCATTGACAGACCACCACATTCTTCAAATTTAAAACAATATTTCGAAAATCTAGAAACTCTTTTAATGAATCTACCATGTAAGGCAAACCTTTTGTTGGGTGGTGATCTGAATATAAATTATGACGATGAGACATCAGAGGCTACACAGGTATTATCCAATTTGTTTTTATCATTTAACCTGCAAATGTATGTGCAGCGATCGACCCGAATTACTGCACACGGTAAAAGCAAGATTGACTATATGTGTTCCAATTTTGGCTTGCGAAATATTTTCGTGAGTTGCGAGGTAATGCCTGTTGGTTTTTCGGATGATGAGGCAGTATTGGCTTACTTTAGATTGAATTTTAATAAAGTGCGAAAGCATAGGTTAGGTAGGTTGTTTAGTCGGAAAAACTACTATAAGTTTAAGTCTGCGGCGGAAGGTTTGAGCTGGTTTGAAGTGTTAAACACAGAATCTCCCCTTGCGTCTTTTCAAAACACAATAAGTAGTACTTTTCTTAAATGTTTTCCACTACAGAAAATCAAACAAATCAATAGAAAGAGTTGGGCGACAAAGGGTATCAAAATATCCTCGAAATATTTCACATCTCTTCAAGTAATAAAAAAGCACACAACCAATCCTCGTTTTCTCTGTTACTTTGCCAAATACAGGTTAACGTACAAAAAGCTTATCAAAGCTGCAAAAGACAAGTTTTACCGCGACCAAATTAAAAATTCAAATAACTCAACTAAGGAAAATTGGAAACTTGTGAACCAATTAACTGGTAGGGACCCTTATCCCCAGTCAAGGGTGAATGTGGATGCTAATATCCTGAATAACTTTTACTGTACAGTTGCCAGTAACCTGCAATCGGATTTGAAAAGTAACATAAATCCTCTTTCTTATTTGTCTGACGTAAAAATAGATGGTAGATTTGAGCTACAACCTA